TATAGTCAATTAAGACGAGAGTACAAATGAAAGTTTAGCACGCAACGCGTAGGTAAAAGAACACAAAAGAGAAAGCTTTGTCAACTCAAGCAATCCCGAAATTTTCGCCTCCTTCAGAGACCCTGAGTGGCTTGGTTCATAGCAGACATTATGCAATAGTTTAAATGGTTAATGTAATTTTCGATGGAATAGAAAAAGATTTAACTTTGACCGTATGTTTTCAAGAGATAGTGCCGGTCTCAAGCCTACACAAAGGAGGAGAGCTGGGTAAGAGGTTGGTGTTATATCTAGAGCTTTGATTCTTATTATGCCGCGTACTACTAGACTACTTGAACGATCGAACCCGCAACGTCGCAAGACAGAAGACTAGTAAGTGGGAGTGTTATTCCCAACACAGTGTCAAAATATAGTACAAAAATCTCATGTACTTATAGTTTTCGGCTGAAAGTAAATCATCATTTTGGACAGCCAATAGACACACAAGTGGTCATTCCTTTCCATCCAATAGAGAAGCTAAACGTCGAATGTTCCTCCAGCAGTGATTGGATGGAATGTCTTCGGCTTTTTCTGAACTTCCTGAGGCTTCCCAGAGTTTGCCAACGAGCCATCCATACAGTTATGAAATCCAATCCGTGGAAAAAAACTTGCTAGAAAAATGCGAACCAGACTAAACCATTTAAACACTTGCTTCCGAGTTGGAGGATTAATTATGACGTCTCAGGATGAAAACCGAAATTTTTCGGTAGTCACGAGACTGATGCACTTTCTAAAAAATAAAGCAACACATTTTGAGGCACAATGAATGTTATCCAATATTATGCACCCACCAAAAAGAGCAACGACGACAAAAGAAAATAATTTCGATGACAGTCGGGAATCGATCACTGATAAATGTTTAGGAAGAGATCTGACTATCCTGATGGGAGACTAAAATTCACAGTCGGAATGGACAACACCGGGTATCAAGGTATCATGGGATGACATGGACTGGGAGAAAGAAATGAGAATGGCAAAGGATTAACAAATTTATGTGCATTCAACAAGATGATTATAGGTGACACATTATTCACACATAAACGCATACACGAAGTTACATGGGTCTCACCGGATCACATTACAGAGAACCAGATAGAACACATTTGCATCACTAAAACCTTCAAAAGGTCAACGGAAGACGTGAAAACCAGGAGAGGAGCTGGCATAGCTTCAGATCACCACTTGGTTGTGGACAAGATGAAACCGAAGTTAAATAAGCATTAGACAGCTGAACAAACAGCGTTACAAATATGAAATACAGCCTTCCTCCGACATATTGACAATCTCAACGAATCCAAGACAATTGTCAATGACAAGTTCTAAGCCTTACAGGATCTACTGCAAGAAGAACAAACTACTACGGAGGACAACTGGAAAGGTATCAAAGAAGCACTAACTTCAACGTGATAAGGGGTGCTGGACCGTAAGAAACATGATCATAAGGAATGGATCTCCATAGAAACGCTGGTCAAGACTTAAGAAAAGAAGACAACAGTGGAACAAGAACAGAGAGAGTCAAGGCACACTCCGAATACACTGAAGCAAACAAGTAAGTGAAGAGGAGCATTAGAGCCGACAAACAGAAATATGTGGAAGAACTAGCAGCGATAGAGGAAAGAGCTGTAGGAAAGGAAAATATGAAACAACGATATGACACGACGAAGAAACCGACAGGAGCATCTAGTAAACCAGAGGGATCAGTTAAGGACGAATAAGACGAAACAATCGCTGAGATTCAAGAACAGAGAGCATTTTGGAAAAACACTCTGAAGAACCGTCAAATAAACCAGTCCCATTGAACTCACCGGACATCAAAGCTGCACCTGAAAATCTTCTTATGGTTGTTAAACAACAACGATCATAGAAATCAGCATGTTCACCAGACAAATCGAGATTTGGAAAGCAGCAGGACTTGACAACATACCATCTGAAGCAACGAAGTTAGGCATAGAAAGTTATTACAGAGATGCTCCACTTTCTCTTCAGAAAGATTTGGGAAGACCAAATGACAACAAATTAGAAAGAAGGATACCTCATCTAGATATCAAAGAAAGGGGTTCTGAGTGAATATGAGAACTACAGAGGCATCACACCACTATCGGTACCAGGAAAAGTTTTCGACAGAGTGTTGCTGAAGCGGATGAAAGATTCAGTAGACACTCAGCTTCGAGACCAACAGACCGGACTCCATAAGGATGGGTCGTACACAGTCCAAATTGTGACACTACGGATCATTGGTGAATAATCAATTGAATGGAGCCCGCCACTATACATCAACCTCCTCGACTGTGAGAAAGCGTTTGACCGTGTAGATAGGAGAACATTATAGAAACTTCTTCAAGACTATGGAGTATCTGAGAAAATTATCATCGTCATCCAGAATTCATCCGACGGACTGCAGTTCAAAGTGGTGCATGGAGGACATCTGACAGACCTATTCCAAATAAGGACCATTGTCAGGTAAGACTGCCTACTTTCCTCCTTTCTCCTTCTTCTGGTGGTTGACTGGATTACGAAGACCTTCACATCTGAGGGAAAGCACGGAATATAATGGACAACATGGATGCAGTTGGACGATTCGGACTTCGTAGATCATCTACCTAGCTCTTCTATCCTATGCACACCAACAAGTGCAGATGAAAATAACTGGTTTACCAACAGCCTCTGCATCAGTAGGCCTCAACATACACAAGGGCAGAAGCAAGATCCTCAAATACATCACAGAGAAAACCAACTCAATCGAATTTGATGGTAAAACTATGTAAGTTGTGAAATCTGTAGAAGTAAATAAAGCCGGAATATCAATAGCTCTGTATGTCTTCGACACTTGATGCTGACCGTGTTGGTTTTAATGGACCCACCTGCTATATTCACTACGTGGCGCCGCATAGTAAGGAAAGCCGACCAGACACTGCTGATTCATAGCGAGCTATCAGAAGACTGTTTACGAACCGTCAACATTTTGCGTTTGAACATCTGTCTGACCACACCGTAGGGTCATCACCATCCCACTAGGAGGGGAAGTGATCTGTCGCCATAAATGAATCCTGAAAATCAATAGCTCTGTAAGTCTTCGAAACTTGATGCTGACCACATTGGTTTTAATGGAATTGCCTTGGTGAAGGCGCTCGGTTGTGCATCTGCACCAGATCACAAGTGGGGAAGTCGCACTTAACTTCTGCGATCGCTAGCCTGTTCAGATCAGTTAATTCTTGATGTATTGATAACCTATCAAATATATCTTCAATACTCCTCGCTTGCGACTTTTGATTTCACTGGATGGGCGCGATTAATTTATAGGTGTTTTTGGTTAAAGTGTTGTCAAACTACAGATACCTATGGCGTCTTCAAATATTTCACTTATCTGGGACACATAATCGATGAAAAAGTATTATCGGATGCAGTCGTAAAGGCGAGAATTGGCAAAGCAACAACAGCATTCCTACACTTGAAAACGTATGGAACTCAAAATAACTATCTTTCAAAATGAGAATCTTCAATACGAACGTCAAGACAGTTCTGCTGTACGGAGCTGAAATGTAGAGAAGTACTACAACCATCGTCGAGAAGGTTCAAGTACTTTTCAACAGTTATCTACTCACGATGATCCATACCCTTTGGCCGGGTACCATCAGCAACAGTCTTCTGTGGTAGAGAACAAATCAGCTTCCAGCTGAATTAGGAAAAGACATTGCAAGTGAAAAGGACCACCAAACTGCATCACGATGCATATCCGAACATGGAACAAGAATCGAAATGAAAACAAAGAAGGCCAAAGAACACACTGCGTCTGGAAATAGAAGTATATATGAAAGAAATAAATGACAACTGGTAAGGATTGCCTAGGACAAGGTGGGATGGAGAATGCCGGGGGGGGCAGCCTAAACTCTCCCATGAGAGAGAAAAGGCGTAAGGAAGTAAATAAGTAAGAATCGTCCACTTAACAGGATTACATATTGAACATCAGTGAACTACCGGTGGGAACTCAGGTATATTTAGCGACAAAACAAAAATAATGGTAAACTATAATGAAACACTTTCCTAAGTCCTTAAGAATATGTCGATTTTTATTTTGAAGTAATCCTGAGAGGTATCGTTATATCCTAGTAAAGATTAAATTACGGGTAACTTTTGAGAGCAATTAATGAACTAATAATATACATGTTCTTATTGTATAACTAGTCAGTAAATAGATTGTGTATATCTATATTCCCCTTAATATAAGCTTCATTTTGATCTTTAGACCATTATGATGCGATTTGTTTTTCCTAAATAATAATAATAATAAATTACACTCATTTCATTGATTACGGTCCCCTAACGATCACAGCAACTTTTTAACTTGATCTTGTATAGAAGTTATTTCGTATTTCATGGTTGCTGTTGTAAAACTTGTTTCCTAATCGTTTGAGTAAACCGAACTGATATGTTATTCGTAAACTTTCTCTGATAGACAAAATAATGTTTGTGCACTTTGACTCTGACAATTCATGTAACTGAGATTTTTTACTTTAAAGTACATACAATCACTTAACAACGTTCTGGACTGTGAGCTTGTGAAATACACTAGTGCTCAGTGATGAAAGTAGTCAAAAACAATCAGCTGTATAACCAGCATGAGATAACAGTGACCTAATAACCGAAACTAGAAATTCATCTTAATGAATGATGTGGTCGGATTTTAGAGAGTGACCAAAGAGTTAGTTATTGGCTCAATTATTTGTTAACACCTAGTAGATAAAGCTGTGTAATCTGAAATAAACCACTATATAACGTAGATAGAATTCTAATGACAGAAAAAAGCTATCAAGAAGCAAGATACGCGAATCCGGAATTCTTTTTGAACCCATAACATTCTCATAATAATAACTGTAAGTTACATTTTGGTAGATGATTGGTTTATATTGGTTAAATATTTAAATATCCTCAATCATTGGCTTTGGTAACTGGGAGTGCTATTTGAGATGAAGGTCGTCCTGTCGGTTGTCACATTTGTTATATTTATTCATCAAGGATATGCCTTAAAGCCTGTTAGTGATTTGTTTTTTTACACTTTAAATGTCAATATTTGGGTTACATGTAAAAGGTTTGCAAGTAAAAGTGGCAGTAATCACGTATGAGATATAAGGAGTTTAATATAGATATATATACCTATATCCGTGTGTACATACCGATATATTTATATATACGCTTATCGAATATTTTTATAATTTTATAATAGATAGGTACTTTGTTTACTAGTACAACAGCGTAATCCTGAGCGAAATGTAGTTCAACGTCTGTTTAAAATACAAGTTCCATCGTTTTTGGTATCTTAAGCAACCAATAAAAAGAAAATATAAGTCAAAAAGAGGAAAGCAGAAAGGGAGTTACGTTAGGAAGTAAGGGGAAAATAAAAGTGAGACGCGCCAACTAGTCATCGGTGACTATTTTTGGAACATATGCCTTATTTTCCGTACATTACACTTTTCGTGTGCTGTACTGTGGGAATAAAGGCGAACATAGGAGATGTTTGGGACGATGACAAAGGTGTTTTAAGAGTGGATGCAAAATTACGTCGTTGTGTGTATAAGGGGAAAGTAGACAATTAGGCGTATATTTAGGCGAAAAGTATTTTCATTGTAAGTGCAAAGTTACTGTGTCATCTAGAAGGCCTACAAGAGAAATTAATGGTAACGGATTATTATGCAATATTATATATCATTCACTTCTATGAACAATTCAGTGCGTAACTGGGCGAAAAGTAGACGATTTGTTTACATCTTAAACATTGAGCGACAAAATCAATAAATTTTGCGTTATTTCCCCATGACAAGCGATAAAGGAGACGTTTTAATGCGTTTTTTCATTACCTTCTTACTTCGTAACAGAATGTCTTCGCTTTTGGCTACTTTGTAGCTCAATCCCTTTCATTAGTTTTTGTTGATAACTTATCGTGTTAATATATATCTTTGTATTTCACAGTCTTGAAGATTTGTTGACCCAAATAACGAGTGATATTACGTACCTTAGAGATTTCAGATTTCTTCAAGACAAAGTATGAATTATGTCATTAGTACCAATAATTATTTTTCTTGTGCCCCAAAATATAAAATTTTAGTGTCCGGTTCTCTTAGTCATTGATTAGTTGGTAAAAGTGAGTAGTCTGACCTTAAACTCATCAATACTCCATTGCGTTAGTCTATTTCAACCTTCCAGTTATTTAAGACAGTACTATCTCTTACGGCTGACATAACTGTGTGATAGTAGTAAACGGGGTCATTTTTAACATCATGTTACAAACTCAAATTACACTTCAGCGTGATTATTATTTGTCGTTTCAGGTAAGAATTAAACACCTGCAATATCATCGGAATGATGTGTGAATTTGAAATCTCTACAAGGTTTTGTATCCGCTGCTTTTGTGAGTGATCTAAACTCTGACTTGTTAATGTGCCACGTCTAGCTTGTCGCTGTAAACTGAGTTAATTGTGACAGTTGGACGTGAATTGATCTGAAGTATTTACTTTTTTTCTGTGATAGGCGAAAATATGTCGACTTAACTAGCTCATATATTCCAGTTACCTGTTTTTAAATGAATGGTTGTTTAAGTTGATACGACCACTTGATGTAAGATACTGAGCTAAAATATATTATCGGATGATAAGTATGTGAATCCTAACTTCTTTGAGTGCCTGAACCATGTATTGTATACGCTCGGATACTGTTTACCTTTACGTTCAATCCTGACTAAATTAGATCGAAAGACTGCTAGGGGAGACCGAACCGTGACAGAAACATTAAATAAAGTCATTTACAGCTGACATAAGTGCTATTAGTAAGTATAGACTGCTTGCCTGGGATTCATTGGCACTACTACTAGTACTACATTGATAACCATCTTGATAATATTACTTCGCATTACTGGTGTGGTGTAGTAATTTAGGCCAACAGACGTTGTTTTCTGGTTGTATGTTGCTTATGACTAGTTGAGTGTTTATGTTGGTAAAAACTAAGGACCAACTTAGTTAATGTAATTTAAGACTTCCAGCATCTAGGGGTATCACGTCAATGTAGAAGAGGTATAACAAAAGTAAAGCTGTCCATCAGTAGTGTTATACTTGTGGCCGAGTGGATGATTAGTTGATGGGTGAGGTGATGAGACCGCCAGTTAGAGAGCAGCAACTTATTGACTGGAACAGTGACACACGAAACCGTACGAGCAGACTAGAGTGCTAACCGGTCCTGCGATCTGCCTAGCCCAACCAGTTAAGTCCAAAACACCGATAACAGCCTCAGTGGTATGAATCATTATATTTCAAACATACTGAGTTTATATACCAACCAAATAAACCATATCGACCCATAAAATAGATAATAACATTTGTACAATATTTAGCCAAATATGGCTGTGAATAGTGATCAATAAACTGATGATAACTCAAGGATCGTATAATAATAGTTCAAAGGTCAAATAAAGTTAGTGATAAGAGGAAACAAATATGATTAGGTTAATTACAATAGGAAATATACATAATATATTGACCAACAAATAGTCCTCAAAAGTTACCATTCGTAATTCTCTTCGGGGTACAACAAGTAGTATATGTATTCAATATGTCACTCACATTGATCCTATTCGACTTTTCATGCTATTCAATAGTGAGGGTAAGTATTAGCTTTCGCTTCATACTTTACGAAAGTATATTTAATTACCGCATCTTGGTTTTGCATATATATATATATATATATATATATATATATATATATAGTGTCGGACCTGACAATATACCAGCAGAAGCATTAAAGTCAGACATTGAAATAACTGCAAACATGCTTCACCTTCTATTCAAGAAGATTTGGGAAGAGGAACAAGTGCCAACGGACTGGAAAGAAGGATATCTCATCAAGATACCAAAGAAAGGAGATCTGAGCCAATGTGAGAACTACAGAGGTATCAGTTTGTTATCAGCACCAGGAAAAGTTTTCAACAGAGTGCTTCTGAATCGGATGAAAGACGCAGTAGACGCCGAACATAGGGATCATCAGGCTGGATTCCGTAAGGATCGGTCGTGCACAGACCAGATTGCGACACTACGGATCATCGTCGAACAATCAGTTGAGTGGAACTCATCACTATACGTCAACTTTATTGACTATGAGAAGGCGTTTGATAGCGTGGACAGGAGAACATTGTGGAAACTTCTTCGACACTATGGAGTTCCTCAGAAGATCGTCAACATTATCCAAAACTCATACGATGGACTACAGTGCAAAGTGGTGCATGGAGGACAGCTGACAGATGCATTTCCAGTAAGGACCGGAGTCAGACAAGGCTGTCTACTCTCCCCATTCCTCTTCCTTCTAGTGATTGACTGGATTATGAAGAATTCGACATCTGAAGGGAAATACGGAATACAATGGACAGCTCAGAATCAATTAGATGATTTGGACTTCGCAGATGACCTAGCCCTCCTCTCTCATACACACGACCAAATGCAGATGAAGACAGCAAATGTAGCAGCAGCCTCCGCATCGATAGGCCTCCACATTCACAAAGGAAAAAGCAAGATTCTCAAATGCAACACGGAGAACACCAACCCAATCACACTTGATGGCGAAACTCTGGAAGAGGTGGAAACATTCAAGTACCTGGGGAGCATCGTTGATAAACAAGGGGGGGGATCGGATGCAGATGTAAAGGCGAGGATTGGCAAAGCAAGGGCAGCATTTCTACAATTGAAGAACATATGGGACTCAAAACAACTCTCAACCAATTTCAAGGTCAGAATCTTTAATACGAACGTCAAGACAGTCCTACTGTATGGAGCTGAAACGTGGAGAACTACTACGTCCATCATCAGGAAGGTACAAGTATTTATAAACAGTTGTCTACGCAAAATACTCAACATCCACTGGCCGGATACTATCAGCAACAGCGTTTTATGGGAGAGGACAAACCAGCTTCCAGCTGAAGAGGAAATTAGGAAAAGACGTTGGAAGTGGATCGGACATACACTAAGGAAATCACCAATGTGCATCACGACTCAATCCCTAACTTGGAATCCGGAAGGGAAGCGGAAAAGAGGAAGGCCAAAGAACACGCTACGCCGGGAAATAGAAGCAGATATGAAAAGGATGAATGGCAACTGGAAAGAACTGGAAAGGAAGGCTCAGGACAGAGTTGGATGGAGAATGCTGGTGAGCGGCCTATGCTCCTCGACGAGGGGTAACAGGCGTAAGTAAGTAAGTAATATAGTGTCGGCACAATATTTTTACACAAACACATACACGAAGTTACATGGGTCTCACCGGATCACATTACAGAGAACCAGATAGAACACATTTGCATCACTAAAACCTTCAAAAGGTCAACGGAAGACGTGAAAACCAGGAGAGGAGCTGGCATAGCTTCAGATCACCACTTGGTTGTGGACAAGATGAAACCGAAGTTAAATAAGCATTAGACAGCTGAACAAACAGCGTTACAAATATGAAATACAGCCTTCCTCCGACATATTGACAATCTCAACGAATCCAAGACAATTGTCAATGACAAGTTCTAAGCCTTACAGGATCTACTGCAAGAAGAACAAACTACTACGGAGGACAACTGGAAAGGTATCAAAGAAGCACTAACTTCAACGTGATAAGGGGTGCTGGACCGTAAGAAACATGATCATAAGGAATGGATCTCCATAGAAACGCTGGTCAAGACTTAAGAAAAGAAGACAACAGTGGAACAAGAACAGAGAGAGTCAAGGCACACTCCGAATACACTGAAGCAAACAAGTAAGTGAAGAGGAGCATTAGAGCCGACAAACAGAAATATGTGGAAGAACTAGCAGCGATAGAGGAAAGAGCTGTAGGAAAGGAAAATATGAAACAACGATATGACACGACGAAGAAACCGACAGGAGCATCTAGTAAACCAGAGGGATCAGTTAAGGACGAATAAGACGAAACAATCGCTGAGATTCAAGAACAGAGAGCATTTTGGAAAAACACTCTGAAGAACCGTCAAATAAACCAGTCCCATTGAACTCACCGGACATCAAAGCTGCACCTGAAAATCTTCTTATGGTTGTTAAACAACAACGATCATAGAAATCAGCATGTTCACCAGACAAATCGAGATTTGGAAAGCAGCAGGACTTGACAACATACCATCTGAAGCAACGAAGTTAGGCATAGAAAGTTATTACAGAGATGCTCCACTTTCTCTTCAGAAAGATTTGGGAAGACCAAATGACAACAAATTAGAAAGAAGGATACCTCATCTAGATATCAAAGAAAGGGGTTCTGAGTGAATATGAGAACTACAGAGGCATCACACCACTATCGGTACCAGGAAAAGTTTTCGACAGAGTGTTGCTGAAGCGGATGAAAGATTCAGTAGACACTCAGCTTCGAGACCAACAGACCGGACTCCATAAGGATGGGTCGTACACAGTCCAAATTGTGACACTACGGATCATTGGTGAATAATCAATTGAATGGAGCCCGCCACTATACATCAACCTCCTCGACTGTGAGAAAGCGTTTGACCGTGTAGATAGGAGAACATTATAGAAACTTCTTCAAGACTATGGAGTATCTGAGAAAATTATCATCGTCATCCAGAATTCATCCGACGGACTGCAGTTCAAAGTGGTGCATGGAGGACATCTGACAGACCTATTCCAAATAAGGACCATTGTCAGGTAAGACTGCCTACTTTCCTCCTTTCTCCTTCTTCTGGTGGTTGACTGGATTACGAAGACCTTCACATCTGAGGGAAAGCACGGAATATAATGGACAACATGGATGCAGTTGGACGATTCGGACTTCGTAGATCATCTACCTAGCTCTTCTATCCTATGCACACCAACAAGTGCAGATGAAAATAACTGGTTTACCAACAGCCTCTGCATCAGTAGGCCTCAACATACACAAGGGCAGAAGCAAGATCCTCAAATACATCACAGAGAAAACCAACTCAATCACACTTGATGGAGAAGACCTGGAAAATGTGGAAACTTTCAATTGCCTACCTGGAAAGCACCATCGATGAACGTGGAGGATCTGATGCAGTCGTAAAGGCGAGGATTGGCAAAGCAGCAACAGCATTCCCACACTTGAAAACGTATCGAACTAAAAATAACTGTCTGTCGACCAATATCAAAATGAGAATCTTCAATACGAACGTCAAGACAGTTCTACTGTACGGAGCTGAAACTTGAATAACTACCACAAGTATTTATAAACAATTGTCTACGTAAGATACTGAATGTCTGTCAACTGGATACCATCGGCAGCAGTCTACTATGGGAGAGAACAACGAAGGTTCCAGCTGAAGAGGAAATTAGGAAAAGACTCTGGAAATGGATAGGACTGATATTGAGGAAATCACCAAACTACATTACAAAGCAAGCGCTAACTTGGAATCCTGAAGGGAAAGAACACACTGCATCGGGACTTTGAATCAGACACGAATATGATGAATAGCAACTGGAAAGAACTGGAGAGGATTGTCCAGGACAGAGTTGGATGGAGGATGCTGGTTGGTGATTTATGCTCCTCCATGAGGGGTAACAGGCGTATATATATATATATATATATATATATATATATATATTCACGAATTCTGTCATACATGCTTTTTATTGCCTATATAATTATATTTACTTATTTTTATTTCCCAACCTTGATTCAGTCCGTTGGGATTCTCAAAGTTTACAAGGATGATAATGTATCAAGTCATCGGTGCTTCTTTATTTCACAGACCAGAAATTTGGATCCACTCCTAACAACGGTAAGAATAGTCTCTTTACTTTTCTGAAGGCGTAATTTCATTTGATTCGATTTTCATCTGAGCTAAAAACGTCAGTAAATCTAATTAGTTCAGAATAGCTGGCTGAATTTATTAAATGCGTACTTTAAATAGGCAAATCAATCAATTTCTTTTTCCTTATTCAATCCACTTTTCGGACATGGAAAGATCGTTAAATATTGAACTATTCTTTTTCGGAATTTCTGGTTTCTCACTCTTCTTTTTTTTAGAACTAAGTAGTTTTCTGATTGTAATGTCAGTGCCAGAGCTTTACCAAGCCAATAATGTAACAACATGCCACTGCACTATTATATTCAAAAACTAGCCTCAGGTAGTGATGTTGTGGCGATGTTGACTAGTATATGTGGTATGGTAGTTTTTGAATCTAAAACTTTGTCCTTAAAGCTACTTGGGTTCTAGCAGTCAGTTATTATCCGTAGTCACTAAGTAGTTTGTTTAATTCAAAAGCAAATTCTTGGAAATACTTCATCATTCACTTCTGGTTGTACTTGTTTTCTCATGGGCATAAGGTTTTTCTAGTCAAGTTTTACTTTCGGTACATCTTATTATTTTTTATCCTTCTGTATCACTCGTCAGTTACTTGTCCCACGGCGTTTTGTCTTTCACTAAATAGCATAATTGTTTTTAAAATGATAGTGTTTCCATTCCTTCCTATGTTCCAATTTTGGGGTTGGTAGTCGAAGGATCGTTGTATATTTTCATGCTTTGGGTCTTTGTTGATGCTCTAACGTATTCTTAATGATTCCAATCTTGCCATGATACATCCTTGTCCATACTACTCGTTTTTTTAATAAGAACATAATATAAAAACACAAATTTGTATTTAGTTAGTTATCAACTAACAATTTAGTTTTGTAATTTTTTAACCTTCACTTTTATCGGTTTTCTGATTTTCGATGTTTGCACTTTTCAAAAAGTAAGTATTCTTGACTTAGAAACTGCAATGAAGACTTTGTACTTGATTATAACCCTCCTTTCCTTTGAAGCTTAATGATCACGTTCCTTATGGATTTTGATTATTTCATATAGTTTTTTTTTATGAAAAACTCACATAGTCTTTATGCCTCAAGTTTGAAATAATGTTAATAACCAGTAATTCAGAGTTTTATGAGTTTCACTAGATGATTAATCTACATCTTCCCGGTATAACAAGAAATTTTATCAGTCTTCTTTCAAACTCAAAAACTTCGGAATGTGATTTATAAGTTCAAAGCGTAATAATACATTTATCATATTAAGTAGTCAATTTTCACTCAACTATGTAGTATTAATTTATTTCACTAGATAGAATCATCATCTAGCGGTTTTTATACTCCTCGTGTACCATAAGATTGTTTACTCTGTTTTATTTTTGTGTTGTGCTCATTTTATCGCTTAAAATGATCGTTTAGTGTTCATCAATGTTGCACTAAATTTGGCGATACTGGTCAAAGTATAGCATTCAACGATTGTAATATGATCGATATATTAAGTTAAATGTCATGTTTTACTTAACTGCTTCTTAGATATTTCAACGTTTAAAGCACATCGACTTGGTTACTAACTAAACCACTACAAATTAAACTGCTGATACAAATCAGTCATAAGACGATAATCAAAACTGTGATTAACATTTTTGGTTCTATTTAGTTGAGATCAATTTGTGATGTATAATAACGAAAATTATCAGAATACAATAGAATAACATACTGAAATAATTACTGACCAAAATAGTCAAAATATGTATTTTAAACTGAACTACTATCATAATGAAATAACCAATAATTTTATTCATATTTGCTTCTTATTACTTGACTGGTGTTATATCTTGATTTGAATTCGCTGAATTTTCAATTGACTACTTTTACTTCACCCGCCTTTACACCTAGTGGTGAATTTCGATTGGAGTATTACCTCATTTTTCCTAACAATCTCAGTTAATTAAAGACGATCCTTCCATATGATGTGCTTTTCTCATCGTAAACATGATCGAGTTGTCTGTCCAATGTTGATTATATGTTTTATGGATGAAATGTGACTGATCAATCTCTTAGAAGTTTCTATACTAAATTGCTTATCATAACCAATGATACTGTCTAGCTGTTTAACTTTTGGTGGTGAGAACTGAGTCCCACTCTACGCTACACAATTTACATATTGCCCGTACTGAAGTAAATGGGGAGAGATTCAAATGTCCAAGGTAATGGTTTTAAGACTAGTCACCGTTTTATTTACTATCAAAATCAATATGCTACAAAAGATATAACACAAAGTCAACATTTTAATTCAGTTGTTACATCAAATACGTAAGGGAAATATAGTTTTATTCTGTTTAAGGTTATCAAACCAAAATTATACCTGTAAATTTTCCTGAGTACACTTAGTAAGAATACTGTTGTATTTTACGTAGATAATTTTAAATACAGAACAAATATTGATGCAAAATAATATGAATTCATTATATTTCGTGGTTTCCCATCAGTTGCTTATAACCAAATATATATTAGAATTTTAGTATTGGGGTAATACATAGTGTGGAACAATTAATATAATTGAATTTAAAGGATTGGAATGACAAAACGTTATCAATGATAACTATATATATATATATATATATATATATATATATATATATATATATGCAAAGAAAGGTCAGAGGTTAATAGGTATTAGAATGAAAGAAGCGGTTGCGGCCCGGAATAGCTCAGTGGTAACGTCTCTGACTGTGAAGCTGAGTGACACGGGATCGAATCCGCCAGGGAGCATCAGTTTCCTCAAGATTACAGGTACACCTTGCTGACGAGTGCCAAGTAGCACGAAACCCGGGTCCAGGGTTTCCTATTGACCACCTCCAACCACCATCGTACCTCAATATATATAGCACGCAGTGTCGAGCCACCTAGACTGGTGGCCACATTGCAACTTGATCGATAACATTCGATCAGCACTCAGAAGGACTTGACACGCATGACATTGATCACCACCCAGTGATCAATCAATTGTGGTTGGTTGTTGTAATAGTTGAATGAAGTCCAAAGACAGATAAGATAAATGTGTGATAATTTTAGAGGTAATGAAGTAGTCATGGAATTAAAAACAAATAGGATGGGTTACGTGATAATTGAGTAGAATTCGGAAAGTTCATATAATTTAAGAGAGACAAGTGAACGGAAATGTGTGAGAGAAAGGGTGGCTTAAGAATTGGATAATGGAAGAGGAGTATAATAAAAACTAAATATTAACCAAAATAAAACTAATATCCAAAAAAACGAAAACAAAAAAACTATAAAAAATTTTGAAAGCATGAGAAATATCAATGGTGTGTCTGGTGTCGAGTAAATGCCGAGCTATTGCACTGTTGAGAGCCCTGGTCCCTCGCAGCCTCAATTTCTTAAGAACATGCTCAGAAGTGCGAACATGCACTCTTCTTTCAGTTCTTGCAATGTATGTGCTTTGGCACGTACATGTAAATTGGTAAATGCAGTTGCAGCTACTGAGAAAAGAGAACTTGTCGATTTTAGCTTGTTTGAGTGGGCAGTTAGTTTCCCACACCGTTGTCAGTTTAGCTGCTGTGTTGTCATTCCAATCCTTTACATTCAATTATGTCAATTGTTCCACACTATTTGTTACCCCAATGCTAAAATTCTAATATATATTTGGTTGTAAGCAGCTGATGAGAAACCACGAAACATAATGAATTCATATTATTTTGCATCAATATTTGTTTTGTCTTTATTTAAATTCATAAAGGGAACTAATTGTATATAATTTTGTTACAGACAAAAATGAAATTGGTCAATTTTATATCTACTACTAAAGTCTATCCTAATCTTTCATCATCACTGGCTATATCTGTTATGTGGAATAATTTTAGTGATATAGAAATATTATCAATTAATCCACAGCTTCTAATTATTATTTATGATGGGGAATTAAATTCAAAATTAAAAGTTATGATTGAATCACATGCATGGGAATTATTCACAAGAGCCAACCTATTTTTGGATATCGATCAGTTTAATGAGATAATTTATGTAAGTGTATGCTTATTTGATTAAATTGAAATGTATAATGTAGCTTAATTTCTATATTGAAAGTGAAAATCCTTAACTATATTGCAAGTGCCTTATAAGAAGCATAGGTACATATTACGACTACTCCATTTAAGAAGCTCTTATCCATCGATTGTTTCCTTCGAATATTGCTTTGGCCAGTATTTATTAACTATTCGGAAATGTTTAACTTTTTATCCGACCTTGTGGAATCTTTTTGCTCACCGATTATATTTTAAATGTGTTTATAAACAGAAAAAGAATCAGATGAAACTAGATAATGAGTACCGTTGAGTAGTACTGTGCCCAGTAGTTGACGATGGTGGGATGTCAATACATTTGCACCTTTGTGAATAGTTTTGAACCATATTAAAATCGCTTCGAACTATGAATTATGATTGTCTCGTGAATGATAACCAGGATACCTGTACCTGTCCTCACCTCTCAGATCAACAGTCTATGATTTCGTTGATTATCACTACTTTTCTAAATACTCTTAACCATTTTTTACAGTCTTCTCCTATCCCACCCAGCTTAGCACACTTAAGTTACTAGTGGAGGAAGGAGCTGCGTAATGCAGCATTTAACTTCAGCCGGCGGAAGTTTATCTCATCACCAGTATCGTTGATTCACGTTAAAAATAGGTTCGTGCATAGTTTTTAGATGTCCTGTTTGACAGGGTTGTTTGAATGTTTTTATGGAACTTTATATTATCTCAAGTACTGACCTTTTTGTTTCGTCAGTCATTCAGGTTTCTGAACTTTGATAAAAGTTTCGTAGTTCTAATTTAACTGCTATCCGGTTATGTGAAATTCCTAAGGTTTGTAGTGTCGGTTGCTATGTCAAGTTCACGTAGCTTATTCTACCTTCCGGACAGTTCAATTTACTGACTCTCCTTGTGTTGCATTTTGACCTTATCGATTATTCGTTTATCAACCTTGACTGTTTTTATATGAGCGTATGTGTGTACTTCTTATCTTATTCATCACATGTCTGTAACTTATTTTTATTCGGCTATAATGATCGATTAACGCTTGATTAAATCTAGTTAACTAACTTGCCTTCTCCATTGCGCGTCATTTTGTTTTGTTTCGCTATCTGACCAACGATTGTATGAAATATACGTATTCGAAAATCCATTCTCGTATTTGACTTATTTAATTCCCTTATTCACTAACGCGATTTAAGTCGATGATTGTATACGAGGATTTGGCGGAATGTATATTTCGATAACAATCAACATACGATCAAACTGAAGTCAGATATAGATATATAGCCACTAAAAGCTCGTCGTCCAGTTGGTAATAATATTAAATTGGACGTTTTAGAATCAAGAGAGATTTCCACTCCACCAACATACATATATGATTTCTCATTTATTAGTGTGAAAATTTAGCATGATAAGATCGTGAACCTCTTTATTATCAGCTCTCAACACCCAATATCATCACTGTTTCTGGTTTCGTTAACTTTAAATAAACGGTCATATAAACTTACTATGTCTGGCCCATACATTTTAGCTGTGCTCTTCTGTTTTTTATTTTTAGGGCGAGCGTTCTTATCAATCTAATATGAATATTTCAGTATCCGTTTTCCCATTTATTCCAAACTCTATGGCGTTTAAATTTCTAATTTGGATTTTGTTGTATGGATTTGCTGTGATTAGCATCTTATTGGGTGCATGGATAACTATTGTTAACCATGAAAAACTGTAAGTGGGACTCCGTTGTCATATGCACAATAATTAGATTTATATTCGTATTATTCTTTGGTAGTGTTTCGTTTTTTGAGCTGGATGGCTTTGTTATGAAGCTTTTTTTGTAATTCTGGATCACACCAACAGATCTTACTTCGAGTAGAAGTCACGTTTTACGTTAAAATATTTATCTAATTAAAAATTAATAACTAATAAACTCAGTTTTGGTTAAATATAAACATGTTCGCACTGTAGAATAACCAGAGGTAAAGTATGGGCTTGATAAGTAGTGATATTTCTTTATTGAACTTTTAACAGTAACTGATGCTAACTTGATCTATGTGTTGAGTCAATGTCGGTGATTACCATGCCAGCCATCACACATTCCAAATTGATGTGATTCCCAAATACATGAAAAATGTGATAAAATGACTGTAAATCCTTAGATTTTGTGAAGGCGTATCGTGTTATATCACCACAGTGATGAAGTAAGCAAAGGTGAATAATCACGCGCGAGTCGTGTATACGCACTTTTAAGACACAGCTTGCAGAACAAGGGACTATAGTATTTTACCAAAAATACTTTCATACGATTTTGGAGACAATCAGAAAATAAATTCAGTGAAACGCAATCATATGTGGTGTTGTTTTAATTCACTAACTTTTTTGTTGTAACACATATAAGTGAACAACGTTGTTATTATTAATGTATAATGATAGTAATACTTACTTACTCACTTACGCCTGTTACTCCCAATGGAGTATAGGCCGCCGACCAGCATTCTCCAACCCACTCTGTCCTGGGCCTTCTTTATAATGATAATAATACAATAATAATATATAATAATGGCTTTATTCAATATTATATTTTTGGTACAATTTAGAATTCTCAGCACAGAGTATTTCAACAAGTTCCCTTTTCTTATTTCTTGATCGGTCTTGTCGATAGATATTGAGTGATCTCCAGTTAGATGTTAGCGGTTGAGGAATCGACATTTAATTAATGTTCTTTTTTTTTCAATTCACAGTGCCAGATACTACGATATCTCTGATTGTACTTTTTAGTACCTTGTAAAGCGATAGGTTGTAAACGTTTTATTTACGGGCCTGAATTTGTAATGTGAATAATAAACATATTAAAGTTTTAAAACAAGCAATAAAGATAACTTGTTGAAATATCTAGATGGTAGGAATAGGTAATCCAGATATTCACTCAGGTCGCCTCACTATATTGTTTCCAGCTAGATTGTCATCAAAGTTTACCTTATTATATATGAAAATTTATTTGGATATATTAAAATATTAAACCGATCAAGGAAATTTACGAGTCCATGATCACAATCAAATAGATTACACAACTCAAAACAATAAGCGAAAAGTGCAAATTAGTTGTAATGATGAGAATAATACAATAATAAAAGTTTTAATCAATAGTTGAACTATAGAAGTAGGTCAAATCTGGATAAGTAGACTTTAAAAGCTTATATATCAAGATAATAACCGCATGATGGTTCTCTGTGGAGTGTAATTAATGTTCTTATCAATTATGTTGTTATTATTTTAGTTTGATTACTACACTTTCAACCATTAAGTTATATTTTTGTATTTGCAGCATTTTTTTATTCAGTATAATAAGAATATTTTCAGGATCCATACAATATTAAAATAACTTGTAGATTTATATCCTATTAGTTTTTGTCTTTTATCTTAGAAAGTTCATTCCTTCTGTTTTCAAACTTCATCCTAAAAGTTTAAACTGAATTCTTTTATGTAACTGCTGCTACTGACATTGAACATTAATAAAATTGTAGTAGCCTTTATTTCAAGTTTTCTGAGTAAATCCCCTGTTCAGAAATAAAAATTTTATTAATAAATTAAAAGAAACTACAAATGACAGGAATCTTGCAACGTACTTTGCTCATTTATGAAAGATAGTGTCAAGAAGTGCATTGATGAACTTGTTTAGTTGCTAGCTCAATATAACTTGGTCAACAGGAGCTTTTGAACTGGTCAGTACGCATAGCAGAAGTTGAACTTGATAGTTCATCTCCATCTCATGAAGCTGATGATTGGTTGCTTAGATAGTGGATTATGATTTCGTTTTCTGTGCTACGTTTAAACCTCAGTTTTAAGAACATTAATTTTATAAGCTTGCTGTGGGTTTTCTCATTTTAGCCCTTGTTTCAGTTTAATATTTTGTTAGGAACTTTAACAGATGATCATTTCTACTTAATAGATTGTCTCTAGAGCAACCAATTTTAGTTATTTACTCCATGTATTTAACTAGGTATCATTTTTACTATAGAGTGAGATGGACCATATTGGATATGGTAGTCCAGTAAAGTCGGCTTCTGACAAACTGTTTTATTCCCCTAGAAGATCTTGTTAATGTGATATCCATGAAGACAATACTACTTTTGCCTGTTTTCACTGTTAAAGTAACTGGTTGATGAACACAGTTAAACTTTTTCAATACGTTCTGTTCTTAATCCCTGTCTTGACCACCTATGGGCATACCATCTACTTAACTACAATAAAATTCTAGTTCTGTTGCAGCACAACTCCGCCTGTAGCTCCTCCAGGGGCTACTGCCGGCCCCAAGCCCGGGTAAAAGAGGAGGGTTGGGCATGGGGTTTGCGACTCCATCCCGTAGAAAATCAACTCGCTAAAAAACGCTAACCAGAAAAAATCATTAAAACCATTCAAACTCTGCCCTGGGAGTAGAAGGAATAATTATGACGTCTCATGATGAAAGCCGAGTTCATTCGGAAGTCATGAGGCCGATGCACTTTCTTACAACCAGAGCAACAATTTTTATAGGTACATGGAATGTCCGGACAATGTGGGAGACCGGAAGAGTCTTCCAAATTGCTGCAGAAATGAGGAAATACAACTTGGAAGTGCTTGGAACCAGTGAAACACATTGGACGCAGGTTGGACAACAACGACTGTCTTCAGGAGAACTTCTGTTATACTCCGGTCATGAAGAAGAAAATGCCCCACATACACAAGGAGTTGCATTGATGCTATCTAGAAAAGCACAAAATGCACTTATTGGATGAGAATCTCATGGACCGAGGATCATCAAAGCCTCCTTCAGAACAAAGAGAGAGGGCATTACAATGAACATCATCCAATGCTATGCGCCGACCGACGACTACGATGAAGACGCTAAAAACCAATTCTACGATAGGCTGCAGTCAATCTTCGAGAAGTGCCCAACCAAGGACCTGACAATTCTGATAGGAGATTTCAATGCCAAGGTTGGAAAGGACAACACTGGATACGAAGACGTCATGGGACAATATGGACTGGGAGAAAGGAACGAAAATGGTGGGAGATTTGCAAACCTATGTGCCTTCAATAAACTGGTCATAGGTGGCACCATATTCTCACACAAAAACATACACAAAGCCACTTGGATTTCACCGGATCATGCTACACAGAATCAAATCGACCATATGTGCATCAACAAAAAGTTCAGGAGGACGATGGAGGATGTGAGAACCAGGAGGGGAGCTGATGTAGCATCCGATCATCATTTGCTGGTCGCCAAGATGAAACTAAAACTCAAGAAGCAGTGGACAACGGCGCGGACAACATCACAAAAGTTTAATACGGCCTTTCTTCGAGATGCTGACAAACTCAACAAATTCAACATAGCTCTCAGAAACAGGTTCAAGGCCTTTCATGACCTACTCAATGGAGAGGGGACTACCATGGAGAGCAACTGGAAAGGTATCAAGGAGGCAATCGTTTCAACATGTCAGGAGGTTCTGGGTCAAAAGAAGCACCATCACAAGGAATGGATCACTGTTGGTACACTGGATAAGATTGAAGCAAGGAGGAACAAGAAGGTAGCAATGAATATCAGCCGAACAAGAGCGGAAAAAGCCAAGGCACAAGCCGAATACACAGAGGCAAACAGGCAAGTGAAGAAGAGCATCAGAACCGACAAACGTAAATATGTGGAAGATTTAGCGATGACAGCGGAAAAGGCTGCAAGAGAGGGAAACATGAGACAACTGTATGATACAACAAAGAAACTTGCTGGAAATTACCGTAAGCCAGAAAGACCAGTGAAAAGCAAGGAAGGCAAAGTAATCACCGATATTGAAGAACAACGAAACAGGTGGGTAGAACACTTCAAAGAACTCTTAAATCGACCAGCTCCACTGAACCCACCCAACATCGAAACAGCACCCACAGACCTCCCAATCGATATTGGCCCACCAACAATTGAAGAGATCAGCATGGCCATTAGACAAATCAAGAGCGGCAAATCAGCGGGACCAGACAACATCCCGGCGGAGGCACTGAAAGCAAATGTAGCAGCAACTGCCAAGATACTACACATCCTCTTCAGTAAGATTTGGGACGAAGAACAAGTACCAACAGACTGGAAAAAAGGACTTCTGATCAAGATACCAAAGAAAGGCGATCTCAGCAAGTGCGACAACTACAGGGGCATCACTCTTCTCTCAATACCAGGGAAAGTCTTCAACCGAGTATTGTTAAACAGGATGAAGGATTCCGTGGACGCCCAACTTCGAGATCAACAAACTAGATTTCGTAAGGATAGATCGTGCACAGATCAAATCGCAACTCTGCGGATCATTGTGGAACAATCAATCGAATGGAACTCATCACTCTACATCAACTTCATCGACTACGAGAAGGCATTTGATAGCGTGGACAGGACGACACTATGGAAGCTTCTTCGACACTACGGCGTGCCTGAGAAGATAGTCAATATCATACGGAACTCCTATGATGGACTAAACTGCCAAATCGTCCACGGAGGACAACTCACCGACTCGTTTGAAGTAAAGACCGGTGTTAGGCAAGGTCGTTTACTCTCACCCTTTCTCTTTCTCCTGGTGATCGACTGGATTATGAAGACGTCAACTTCTGGAGGAATGCACGGGATACAGTGGACAGGCAGGATGCAGCTTGACGATTTAGACTTCGCGGATGATCTGGCTCTTCTATCACAAACGCAACAACAAATGCAGGAAAAAATGACCAGTGTAGCAGCAACCTCAGCAGCAGTAGGTCTCAATATAAACAAAGGGAAAAGCAAGACTCTCCGATACAATACAATATGCACCAATCCAATTACACTTGACGGAGAAGCTTTGGAGGATGTGGAAACCTTTACATATCTGGGCAGCATCATTGATGAACACGGTGGATCAGATGCAGATGTGAGGGCGCGGATCGGCAAAGCAAGAGCAGCATACCTACAGCTGAAAAACATCTGGAGCTCAAAACAATTGTCAACCAACACCAAGATCAGAATTTTCAATACAAATGTCAAGACAGTTCTTCTGTATGGGGCAGAGACGAGGAGAACTACGAAAGCCATTATCCAGAAGATACAAGTGTTTATTAACAGTTGTCTACGCAAGATACTTCGGATCCGATGGCCAGACACTATCAGCAACAAGTTACTGTGGGAGACAACAAACCAGATTCTATCAGCGGAGGAAGAAATCAGGATGAAGCGCTGAAGTTGATTGGGCACACTCTGAGGAAATCACCCAATTGTGTCACAAGCCCTCACGTGGAATCCTGAAGGTCAAAGGAGAAGAGGAAGACCAAAGATCACATTATGCCGAGAAATAGAAACAGACATGAGAAGAATGAACAAGAACTGGATAGAACTAGAAACGAAGGCCCAGAACAGAGTGGTTTGGAGAATGCTGGTCGGCGGCCTATGCTCCATTGGGAGTAACAGGCGAAAGTAAGTAAGTAAGTCTATTGCAGCACTGCTGAAAAGTGCATTCACTAATTTTATTAAAATCTATTCTTCTTTAATTATATTTCTCAATAGTGATTACATCGAAAAACTGCCACCACTTATAAAACCCTTTGTTTAATATAAAGTGTGTATTCATCGTACATCTCTTCCTAGAAGATAAAGATCTTGTTTTTTGTTCCTTGAATTCTCAGTTAATTATGTATGTAATCGACTATTTTCATTAACGACATATTCATGAATAAAGATGACACTTTATTACCATTTTTTTTACCCTTTTTCAAATTCTTTATTCTGTCGTTAACCTTGAAACTATCTTTCACAATAAACCTCACAACATCCTGGTATACTTAATAATAAATTAGTTTTTTGTTATATTTTTAATGAGTAGAAAATTTTTATTTCTGATGTTTTGTGACTTGATGTAAGTCACTTCTTTAGAGTCAATAAGTAACCTTCTACCCAATGCTCAACTTACTTGAAACTATCACGTCAAACCTTGACATTGATACCTACAAATCCTGATATATTTGTTTCAGTAGTCGTACTAGATGGATGTTAAGGGGAATTTAACGTTATTAAGGGGGAAGTGGAAAACCATTTTTACTCATTTTTGATAAACCATTTGACTCATACTGATTTCATATTCAATTAGGAAAGGTATGCTGGTGCAGAACTATACTGTTAGACGATTAAAAGTGTTAACAATAAGTTACTGTTTTTGGGGAAGGTATTCGGCTAGGTTTAAATTGTTTTGGCAAGAATTTAAATTGTCTTTTGTTTGCTTTCGACTAGAGATTAACATATAATAGTTCACACTATTGGTGATGTTGCTTCGAAAAAAGTGTAGTTGCAATGTCAGGAATCATATTAGTTAGACGCAATTCAATTTCTAGTTTTCATTTAGTTGATTTTTAAAATCGAATTTTTAGGATATAAGGTGTGATGGCTAAAATTCGATGCAATTCAACAATCACTAACGATAGTGTTTTTGGTGTGTGTTAAGCAATTCTTACTTAGTTAGTTACTCCTGTTAACTTTCGTGGAGGAGCATAGGCCACCGACCACAATTCTTCAACCAATGTTCACCTGGGCTCTCCTTTCCAGTCGAAGTCTGCTTCCAAGCCTCGAAGCATTGTATTCTTTGACCTTCCTCGTGAAATTCAAAACTTAGCTTACAGTATTATTTCGACATACGATCGAACTATTTCAGCTATTGAACACGTTGATTTTATGTAGGTGTGGGCCGTGGGTTCTAATCTATCAATATTCCATGTCAGTTGTAAATACAAGGCAAAAGGATCGACCAGTATTATTCAAGGCAAGAGTAATTATTGATCGTTAATAATCTCAAATTAATCGTGTACATTACCGTGTAACCAAACATAGGTATTACCTGAGAGTGTCTGCAGTTTTCTCGATGAATTTTCAAATAATTATCTGCTTGTGAATATTTCCAGTTCATTTGAGCGATGCTGTCGAATAATTTTGTTGGGACTTGTCCGAAAAGCACGACGAAGCCTCCAGAGGTACTAAAGGAGCCGAAGAGATTCCGTTCAGTCAGAATTTGATAGAACCTTATGGAATATCAATGTGATATGTTATGATCGAACAACTGCATAGCTTTCCTCCTTGCGGATCGTCTGAATTATAACGACGTTATAGCCGATACTAAAAATGATAAAACCCCTGTTTTTCTGTACATTTCTGATTCCTATCCAATAATCCTTTCCCCTGTCTCTTCCTTACTTTGATTTGCGACTTTGGGGTTTTACAGGTTCGAGTGTCGATAGTTGTATACCGTATTCTGCCGTAATGAAGTAGAAAACGTAACAAATTTTTGTAAACAATCCTTGTTATCGACCTATATATGACATTTCATTATTAGTCAATTGTATCGTAAAACATTGTGATTTAGTTCAGTTGGACTGTGAAGTACTCCGCACATATATCATGTTAGACGTCACTTTACAAAAGTATTTGTTCATACTTCAATCATGTCTAATTAAACTACCTCTTTCTTTCCCAGAGCTTGCTTTGGTAACGTTAATCTGATACAGATTTTTTATTTCCGTCTTATATTATTTACAGGTTACTAAGTTACGCTAAACATCAAAGTATGCTACCAAAGTTCAAATCTTCTTTGTATTTGTATATTATCGTGTGTTTGGTAATTTCTGTTACACTCTTGTTGCTAACTTATTTCTTCTATGATATATTAGGTAAGTTTTTTTATACCGTGTAATCTAGTTTGATTATGTAGTGAAACACTTTATTGATATGCTTAGAGCTTGAAGCTGTTTACTTCATAAATTTTAAATGTTTAGTTATTAGAATTATTTGTGTTTGCCAAAACAACTAAGTTTTGTCACTTTTTATCCTCTGTCGTCTGCTGTTCGCACCTTAGTAATTCATTGCACTGTGTAGGTGTGGGATTTCCAACTACTTAAAACCTTTGAAATTATAAGCAAGGTGTTAGAACAGTATAAAACTTGATATGATGAAAAATCGGAATAATTCTGTCTTTTTTATTGACACGGTGACAGACAATGATCATAAATCCCCATGGAATAGGTGTTAATCTCTTAAAAACCCGACCCTGTTATCTTGAAGCTCTCCATACGATACAAATGATGTATCTACAACACCATACATTAATTGTACCCCTGTTTCGCATGTGATCGCTATTTGACTTATCATTTACCAATCTTACTATACCGGGTAACCGGTAGAGTTTAACGTGTATAAAACATATTGAAACCATCTCAGTTTTCAGTAAAAACCACATCTAATGACTCCTGTGCTTAATAATCTAGAGTCAACCACCAAATTTGCTAAATTATGAAATGTGGTGAATTAGTTTGTTATTTAAATGCAATTTATGTTTACCCTAGTGATAAATATCTTTAAATCATATAGCAAAACAAAGTTCTCAACTGTAATATATTATTATTTGATTTAAGAGAATGTACTGTTGCATTCTTGGCGATCATACATGTTGTGTGGTTTCGTAACTATCAACCTTGTCTTCAATTTTGCCAATTATATGTTGGCTGAAATTGTCACATTTTGTGTCTGTTTACCGAGAAGTGACCAACAAGACCAAAAACAGACAGTTGAAATTAATCAGTGTCCAATAGCTTTAAAACAATAAACTTAAAAAATGATACTTAGGATGCAAGTGAAATTTAGAGATGATGTATACATAAATCGTAATATGATCAAGATTTAGGTGAAAATAAACAATCAAAGCATTCATGCAATTACGATTTAAACTTACAACAGTAGATTATAATTATCTTGTAGATCTTAACCAGGATATCTATACTTTTCTTTGCTCAATTTGAATTATATCACTCTCTTATTGTAACTCGATGTTGTTATCAGAATACTTGTATTCTATACAGTATATTGCACTAAATTGAGTGGTGATTGATCATGAATAATTTATTCTAATCTACTAACTAGGTCATTAAATGTTCTTAATTGATTTAACGTATTTATGTTAGCGCCGTATGCCTATCACCAGTACCATTGGGTTGATGGCAACTCATCAGCGAAATCGAATCTATCAACAACTCATGGATGTCATTGACTTTTAGATTCCGTGTTTTATATTCGTAAGCTAATAAAGAGTGAAATACTACTCATTCTAGTCGTTGTTTAAGTAGATAATGAGTGCTTTACATGGGCCACATGTGGCTTTAGTTCATCATTCAATAACCCATTGGAATTGATAAAATACGTAAAGTTATCAGTGTGCTCAACTTCTGCGATTTCTAATTTTAACCAAAACATTGTAACAGTTCAATCTTGAAGCAGGATTTTTTGTAGAGTAGATTTTTACCTGCATACAAAGGGTTTTCTTATAGTGTTACTCAGTGGTAAGTGTAAGTCTTAATCGATCAGTCGATATACGTTTCAGAGAGTAACATCTTAGATTTTAAATAGAGAACAAAAGTAGATAAAGATTAGTAGATATTGTGAGACAGTTTGTTCAATATATTAGATTTTTATGAGTGCATGTTATACTATGTTATTGTATTAACCGTAAATAATCAAACGATAAACATTTGTATCGCTCAAAGATGAATTCATGCACAATATTCACGAATGTTGTACTTACTAGATATTTTGTTAACTTACTGCGATTTTCATAGTTATTTCCATTTGCATGGCTTTTTATACAGATATTCTCTTTGAAAACTCTTGTCCTCAGCACTTTGCTTCATATTTTAGAGAATGTTTTACTTAATTCTCTCTTCTTTTAGTATATCTCTTAATAGCACTGTTTGTACTGGTAGGCGCGAATTCGATTTCGAAATTCCTTACATTTGTTATCCAACATATCGCTCCTTCAACAACTAAAACGTGCGTCTAATTTTATAATTTCTTTTAATATTTATTTGCTGCGTCATGTGTTATTTTATTGAATGGCGAAATGCTCTCGATTTAGAAACAGTTGCTTTCATATATATATATATATATATATATATATATATATATATATATATATATAAACTGTGGCGGCCTGCTTGAATATCTGGGATACCTGTTCCTACCATCTACATATTTCAACAAGTTATCTTTATTGCTTGTTTTAAAACTTTAATATATTTATTATTCACATTACACATTCAGTCCCGTAAATAAAACGTTTACGACCTATCGCTTTACAAGGTACTGAAAAGTACAATCGGAGACATCGTAGTGTTTGGCACTGTGAATTGAAAAAAAATGAACATTAATCGGATGTTAATTACTGAACTGCTAACTTTCAACTGCCGATCACTAATTGGAAAGGTGAACTATTTTCAATCACTATTAAGTGTAAACATACATCGTCATTGTGGTATAACCACAATTCAAGAATTCTGGCTATTTGATTAATACGACGATTGTTTAGTATCGCTAACTGGTTTCAGTATTTATCACCAGGAACGATGAAGCAATAAGAAAGTGTGGCGGCGGTGTAGCCACACTCGTCAATATGAACTGGTGTATGTTTTAGATTTTTAAAACGACCTTATCGACTGTTTAACTTTAAGATGCTACCCAAAACACTTGAACAAATACAATCATATTTATGTTACCAACATTTACGTAACTCTAGACTGCATATCATCTGCACTATCTGTTTTCACTGATGAATTCACCGAATTTGCCGTTATCTCCTTTAATGTTTCACTTTCAGTCATATGTGGTGGTCTTGATTCATGTGATTGTAGTTATCTTTCGCCATCAAGTCACCAAAATGCAATCGATTTCTCCACTCGTTCCGATGCTCATTTAGACTTAGTTCTCATTAATGATGCGGGAATATATGTGACTTGTAAACGTGCTCCGTTGTTTAGTTCTTATCATTGTACTATTTGTGTTATACCCAAAATATATGGAAGCTTATAAAGAGTACACCTCAAATGCTCTGGTATAGCCGAAGGTGGAGAGAGTCCGCTCTCCCTCTTGAAACGCTCCCACATGGCTAGGTGCATACACCCACTACCAGTGAGGTTTTGCTCAGTGCCTTCTTGTGTTAAGGGTGTTTTTTACGAAATTGAGAGGACGGAAAGCAAATGTCCGGCTCTTTAAACGGGTTGATGGACATGGAGGGACCGCCTAGGGGTGTTGGAAAACCCTGATTCCAAACCAGTATCCTGAAGGAAAAATTGGCGTATAAACCAATTATTATTGGTCACCGGCTAACATGAGACTGCATCTCCTTACGTTGTTCCACTGCCTTGTGGATTGGACCTTTAGGCCAAAGACTCCGGGTGTGGCTCCCTAAGAAAACCACTTGCCTCGGTCTGGGCACCCGGACAGTAACACAGCCCACACAAAATCCAAGTGACTTGTGTGTCGCATATGTATTGGGTGCCACTTTGTACCAATGTTTATGTGTTCAATTAAATAAGTAAATACATTAGACATATAAAGTCAAATACAGGAATTACGGAGAAGGAAATATCCAAAATCTGGAAATACATGTTTTGTACGACAAACTGGGAATTATTTACAATGACTCACTGAAAAATACCTTTGATATTGTCACTTATAATCTTAAATTCTGCTTTAATGTTCGTTGTTTCGCTGAAACTACTTTTGTAAGTTTTGATCGACTTAAATTCCCATAACTAAAGCGATTACAAAGGCGAACAGAAAGAATGTACAAAGAAAAAAATTCTGTCGAAGTTCAGAAGCTAAATGATCTAATAAAACTAGAGATTAGACGTATGAACTTGATGTTTACTTAGAAACTTTCATTTTGTAAAAGCTCTTCAAGTATGTGGAAATTATTCAAAGACTTTCAAGTGAGGGACGCACTAGTGACGATAACCAGCTGAATATTTGTGACTAAAATAAATCTTTTTTACGTCAATCATCTGATTTCATGCTTCCTATATCCACAAGTCTGAAAAATAGTTGTGTTCCAATTTTCACTGAAAGTGACGCCCGAAAATGTCTCCAATCACTTAACTCGTCCCAATGTTTAGGAACTGACGAAATTCCAAACCTCCTTTTTAAGGAGTTTGCTGATGTTGTGTTATCTGTCTACGAGCATCTTTAACGAATTTTTCTCAAATAGTTTCATACTGAAAATGTAGAGAAGTATAAAAGTAATCAAAACACCAAAAAAGTATCTGGGGATAAGAATGTAAAATTTGGACCCAAAGTAATAACTCCACCTTTTCTCAAAACAATAGAAAAACTATTTCTACTTTTACTTCGACTTGTATTAAAAAGGTATATTGATCTATGTCAAGTTACTTGCAAGTGCAAAATGAGTATCTTAGGTACTATTGTTCTGTATTATGTTCAATGCACATTTCTAGATTATACCTCTGACTTTGACTCCGTTCCAAAACCACTATTACTTAACAAGTTTGCCAGCGTCAACATCAACATTTGGATAACCAGCTAGCTGTGTTATTAGCTCTCTGTAAGAGAACAGTGCAATATGCATGGAGGAAAGTTCTCAACATCTCTACTAAGTCAAGAAGTTATGTCACAAGGAGCTGTTTTTTCTCCTCTTCTTTTCTGTATGGTCCGACATCCTCCACAGAAAACACTTTTGCTAAGAATGCGGATGATCTCACTGTATTTAATCCGACTTCTACATTTTCATATGCCCTTGAAATGAATGATTCATTGTCTCTCATTGAACGATGGTTTGATGTTAATGGTCTCACACTTAATCCTTCTAAATGTCAAACTGTTAACTTAAGCCTGAGATATGAACAGCACTTAAATACGCTGTTGGAATCTCATAAAGTTTGTACTATTGGAGATTTCGTAATTAGAACGATATCAAATGTCATTTGTTTTGGTGTAAGTTTTTCCTTTAATCTCTCTTGGTCTTAAGTTTTTTTAATGTTGAAGGAAGTTTTCCGTCTGACTTTTAATGCAAAGAGGCTACATGTTTTTGACATTACTTGACATTTACTTTTACGCTTTGTAAATTCTTGTATATTACTTACCAGTCATTACTGTTTGTCATCATTGTTTCCTTGTATTTTGAGAAGAGATTTTGCTGTGTTGCTGAGAGTGCTGAAGGCAGTTAGTAGGGTGTGTGGTTGGTATTTTGAGGCTATTAATAATATAATTGTATATAAACATTTAAAATCTTGCAAACTCTTGGCAGGTGTTATATTATCATATACTAACCATCCACTTCATTCATATCTTTCCCTTTGTATGTCATTTGGTAATAACTAGGCCCCAATACATTTATATCCGTGCACGCAATTATAGATATGAAAGCTCTTCAACACTTTATCTAGCAAATATACTGTGCGACGTACAGGTTGTTAGAGCTGATCTAGTCAGTAACTTATCTTCTTAAACGTGTTTCTAATTATAAGTTGTACAGTTTCTAATCTTATTAAAATAATTCCATTTACTTCCTGGTGATTTATTCGCTTAATCTATGTATATATGTACGCAGTTGTCGTTTTTTTCTTTTTTTTGAGTTGCATAAGAAACTTGCTGAAAACTCGATTTTGTACTAAACATATAACATTGAATGAAGCTAATAATAATAGTAGTATAAATCCAGACAATATTGAGAATTCCGCCAAACAAGCCTTACATACAAAACACTGCTCAATTTAAACCTGAATATCAATAACAGAAAAAATAAAATTCTTCTTAATTAACAATTTAAAAGGCCATTTCAGAGCCTGCATATCTTTTATTCAACCAGTCATTACATTACCAGCTCTGTTACTAGGTTGTGTCATACCATATATGTATGGTCAAACGAATTCCTACTGTTCTGACAATGGTTAAAGTCATAAAATACTATAAGAGCGATCACACTGACATATTATTATATTGATTTATAAATTACGTTATATTACAATTAAAATACAATTCAAATTATCATAATTAATAAACTTCGTTGGGTACAAAACTAAGACATTTTTGCCACTGAATAATAATTCATTTATAATTAAATGATTTTCATTTCTTACTTGTAAAACATAATGTAACATTATTGAATAAATGCAAATGGAGGTCACCATTAGAATTAAATAGTTCTCATTGAATAACCACTTAATAGATACTTCTAAAAAAAGTACTTATACTAATTTATTGAAAATACGAAGTTCAACAAAGGAATCACTTGTAAATGAATTTGTTATGAAGCTTTATATATAAATGAGGTATCGATTCCGTGAGGATATATAACACAATGAATAAATATGATAATGTAATAGAAAAGTTATGTTACTAGATTATATAATAAGAATAATAACAATAAAAGATTATGTGTGCAAAAATAAAAAGCCACGCAAAATTAATAGGTTAATAATTGATTATGCTGTAAATAGAGTAGGATAGTAGGACGAAATGGCCGTCCAGTGCTTCCAGGTTTTCCATGGTGGTCTAGCTTCAGTTGACTCATGATTTCAACTATACAATGTTTTTGTCACAATAACTGAAGACATTAGAAGAGTTAAATGAATTAAAACTATATCAGAAACAATTACGAATAAAATGATGAGGATTTGAAAAATAGTTAAAGTAAGGGAAAGATATTTCCAAATGCAAAACCAATGTAGTAAAAATAACAATAATAATGATGATAAGTGTGGAGTTTTGTGAAGATGATAGGATTTATAAAGATTTAAAAAAACGAACTGACCAGCAGAGTTCGACCATGCCGGGCGTGAGACATTTACCCACCAGAAACAATGGAAGATGGTCGCTCAATATCATGGATTGGTTGAAGTTAGACATTAAAACTGTTGGATGCTGGCTTAGTGGTTTAGAGGTTAAGCGTTCGCGTACTATACCCACTGTCCTTGGTTCGACCCCGGCGTCCAGGATTATGGGTGGATACCGTTGAGAAGTTTCATATTGTAATGAAACGGCCTTCCACGTTTCTAGGGGTGGTCTAACATTGGTCGGTTCATGATTCGGGTGAAAACGGAAATTAACTCAAAGGTATAATTCATTGATTTTGTAATTTAGGAGGGAGAATAGTGATCGATTAATAAACTATTCTCATGCTTATTATTTTCACACATATTACTTTTAACAAACTAATACTTTAACTCTAACGTCAATAATAAATGCTGTTACTAATTTAATAACAAATCAAAACATTGAATTAGCTAAATCAAAGTCCATACATTTGACTTTATGGAACGTTCGCCGCATGAATGTCGATGATGTGACATAGGTGCTCAAACTGAAGTTAATAGAGTAAGCTTTGTCTCATGCATCGATGAATAAAAGTTGAATAAAGTGGATGAATAGAGTTTCAGCAGTTTGAATACGAGTTGTCGCATAGTTTTCAAAATAATAGCGAGTATTTAGTATACGAGCTTATTATTATAACACTTTTTTCTTGGGGTCTGTGTTTCCTGAATATGTTCCCTTTTTTTGTCAGTGAATATAAAAATAATCTTGTTTCTCTTAGTGAGTACACTTTAGATGTACTTATTTGATTGCTCCTGTTTAAGAATAATGTTGCCTAATTTGTTCTGTCCATACCGTGAACTATGCGGTGGCTTGGCTAAAGCATTCTATCGTCAATGAAGTAAATAGCATTTCCCAGTGCTGTTGGGAATTTCTATTCATTTGACATATTTACTGTAGAACAAAGTAACAACTACACCATGAAATACACTTTATATCTCAACGTTTAAACAACATTTGTTCTAATAAGCTTAAGTCACTGAGGATCTCACAGTACTGGTACAAACTTAAAGTACCGTTGAGTGTGTATTACAGAATTCTCGATTGTTGGGGATTTCATACCTAAACTACCGGAATACATCACCTGATCGCAATTTCATATCCGATAAGTGACATCTGATTTTTGTTACAATGGTCACCAGATTTATATGTCTCAAATCATTTTTACATGTCAATGGTCAATGTATGTCGAACTAAGTAGAACACTACACAACAAGACAAAAATTAAATATTACTTCAAATAAGTGCTTCGAACAGTTGCAGACAAATCTTGTGGTTAGCTAGGTGTGTATGTGACATTTTTGTTGATATGTTTAATGTTTTTCACTGAAAAAGATCTTTCATTTTAAACCAAATATCATCATACCTTTGTGTAATACTTCATTGTATGTTTCCTTTTCCCCTTTCTTTTATTTAGGATAACAATTAATGTAAAATGTTGTCGAGTTATTAGTCCTAGGAAAATATATATTCTTTCTCTAGTTACTTTGCCAATTGGTCTAGCCATAGCTACAACGTGGTTGGTATTTCGTAATAATGATCTGTAAGCTTCAGTTTTATATGTCTTTGTTTTTAATCATCATGTATACGTATGTTCTCAATGATCACTGGCCATTCAATTTCATTGATAAACACAAATGTTTATGTATGACTATGACTTAGAGTTTATATACTATAATCTGTCGTACATATTTTAGTAAGAGCAATAGTTTTTTTCATACAAATACTCAATAATTTATCTCCTTTCTAGATGTTATCTAATCTATTTGTAGTATGCAAATGGAGGACCTATTCAGTAGGTCGTATGGCGTGAATATTATAGAAATTTTCTGTCAAAATCTGAGAATGTTTGAGATACTTCACATCTTTCTCAATTAAAAATTCTTACCTCAATACTGTGCTGAGCTGATACATATCTTAACTCTAATAAATGAGGTGTGTCAATCGCTTTATCTAACGTACAGTAGTCTGACCAAGGTACTTAACCTTCAGACCATTAAACTAGGATCAGGTCGTTTACATGTCTAAATTCTATCAATTCGCAATCCTTCACCTGTGTCACGAATTCACGCTGCTGAGCAGTCCCATAATGAGATGAAATTACTGTCCAGTAATTCCCGGTGTTTATTGTTTTTTTTTTTAAAAATTAAGATTTGTCCGTAATGTAAAGAATCAGGTTATTATTTAGTTAAACAGAGTGTAAACATGTGTTTCATCACAGTAATCTAAAGGTAACACTTGCTGTATGACGTGAAAATGTTAGGTTCATCAGGTGAAGTTGTTCTGTTATGAAGTGATCTCAACATTCATGATTTTCTCCTCACTGTTTGGTAAGTTTTATGAAAATTTTGTGTAATAACAATTTTGTCATTAGGTGAGTAGTTTCGCTTGTTAAAGAAACTTTGCTTTCCAATGTTTCTTTAAACTGTTTAGTTTTTTAAAGTATATTCAACCAAATGCAATTCAATAATTGTTTGGTTGTTGAAATTAGAATAAAAATCTGATGTAATATATCGATCCTTGAGATAGAACTTTTTGTATCATGCAATTTAATACATATTTTCTTTTAGATATAGAATGTTATTACCGTGTAATGCAGTCAGTAGCTGGATAGAAACCATTACCACTATTTAAATGAACATTTCATTTCAAAAAAAAACTTTTTATCAAGTTATACTTTGACATCATGATTCTCATTCATTACACTATTTTCATCTTTTACTAGAATTGGTTGGCCTCTACAATCTGTTATCGGGATGTTTATAGTAGCAGTGATTATTTCATCTGCGTTGATTATACCATCAGTCAAGGTAATCAAAGAGAATGTTTGTGATAAGTTCTACTCCATTTCTTACCTGTTACGTGTATCCATCACATTTGGTATTTGGAATTCCACACCTCGGACTGACTGACCGGAAACCAGAAATCACTGGACAAATGTCTAGTTTCAATATAGGACTTCTGAAGAATGGCGATCTACAACTTCACTAGCGGTCAAACCCTTGACTTTTAGCCGTCTTGGGATAATTCTTAACCTTCAGATCACTGATTTAAGCATTCAGTGATCTACAGTTCTAACGTAATCGAGTCGCGATATTGCGCTACTACCATTCGGTGCTATCAATTGGTAACTTCCTAACTCCTGTCATGACTGAATTTTGTGGTGTGAAACTTTAAATTCAATAATCACCATAACATCCTATGATTACTCTTGATGTATTCAAATTATATTTTCTATTTAGTGCTCTGGTAAATCATAATTCCTACACAACAGTCTTATGGTAGTGCATGTGATTCATATATATATATATATATATATATATATATATATATATATCCCATATTTTATTTCGTTTATATCTTCCACTAAATCTTGTCTATGACAACGCGGTCGCGAAAGCGCCAAAATAAAAATCTATGTGGGATACATTTATTTCAAGCATCCATGTGTGATGAGACAAACAAAGCTTATAGTGGGTATAGAAATCAGGCTTTGCCCAAGATCGGCGACTTAGGTGCGACTCAGCTTTTGTATTCAGATAACAATTCGTAGATGCATAGACACGTATGTACTAACATACACAGAAAAGTATATGGATAAAAGTGAATAATCATTAAGGTCACGAGTAATATTGTTACTCATAGACGATCTCATCTATTTATGGTGACTGAAGAATGATTAGGAAGATGATGGATGACGTGTAAGTTACATACTGCTTGAATTGTTAATATCTATCAGAATACACTCATTTAGGTGTATAAAAGCCATTAAAGTCTACAAACAACCGTCTCTAGCAGAAATATTTTAAGATTGTGTCTCGATTACTTTTTGGTTGGTTGTATTTCGTTATTGTCTGAATCCCTAATGGTTTTCTCTCTAAACTGCCTTGATCGTTCCTGTGTTCCTCTTTGTTGAAATGAAGCTTAGGGTTAGAATTACCCTTTATGTTTTACTTGTCATACTGATGAAAATTTCCCATGTTTTTTGTATTCAGTTTGCGGTGTAACAGTTTGAACTGCTTTACTTTATTCGGCGTTAGATTATTGATAACCTTGGACATAAGTTTCATGTTATTTAGCACACATCACTAAGGTGCATCTACAATTTGAATGGGAATGATGCTATTTGTTGAATCCAAACCCTCACCAATGTTGGAGACATTACTACTGAGATATCAGATATAAGGCATAGTTTTTCAAATCATGCAAAAAGTAAATTTCTGATCTATTTTTCATTGTCGTTTTAAAGGAAATTTCACTTATTTCAGTATGTTGTTCTATCGGCTGATATGTCTGTCCGTATTACAAAGTATAGTCTACAATGTGTATCTATACTTATGTATATAGTTATACTTTAATCGAAAACAATCAAGTCCCCTTGATAAATTTGGATAATATAACAAGAAAATGAAGATTTTCAAAACTATATGACATAGTAGCTCAATATATTTCGAACAATCTGACCACATTTATATTTCTGTTAAGAACATTTATATATGATAAATAAACGGCCAATTAGACAATCAAACAAGGATAAGAAAGATAATGATCTGAAATACAATAAATATTACCAAGGATAGATTTAAAGCAAGTATAAACTGTTTCTAAATGCATAGTTGAAAGCATGAGTCAACTGAAGCTAGACCACCAAGGAAAACCTGAAAGCACTGGACGGCCGTTTCGTCCTATTGTGGGACTCCTGTTTCTAAATGCATAAAATGAGTTTGAATTGTTTTATAAATCAATTTTCTCAACATGTATATGTGCGATCAGATTGTTCGAAATGTATTGCGCTTATATGTCATATATTTTTGATAATCATATATCTTATAATCTTTTGTTTGATTATATTTCGATTGATAACTTTGTAAGAATAATTTTGTGACTTGTTTATATTATTTTCTTATTAGGTTGGTACACTTTTGTTTACTGTATTTATGATCTACGATATATTCTTTGTATTTATTACTCCCTTATTCATAGTAAGTTATTTATGAATTTCTAAAGTAATTGGTATATTTTGTAGTTATCATTTAATCATAAGGTTAATAAAGATATTCATTAACGTAAATTAATACAGTTTTTAATTATTTTAAATTTATTATTAAGATTTTCAGTTTTGAAATTGGATAATGTAAAAATAGTACTTACTTACTTACTCCTGCTACTCCCAATGAAGCATAGGCCGCCGACCAGCATTCTCCAACCCACTCTGTCCTAGGCCTTCCTTTCTAGTTCTACCCAATTTTTGTTCGTTCTTCTCATGTCTGTCTCCATTTCCCGGTGTAATGTGTTCTTTGGTTTTCCTCTTCTCCTTTGGCCTTCAGGATTCCATGTGAGAGCTTACCTTGTGACGCAGTTGGCTGCTTTCCTCAATGTGTGTCCTATTCACTGCCAGAGCTTCTTCCTGATTTCTTCCTCTGAAGTCTGGTTTGTTCTCTTCTACAGTAGTTTGTTGCTGATAGTGTCTGGCCAACGAATCCGAAATATCTTGCGTAGACAATTGTTAATAAACACCTGTATCTTCTGGATGATGGCTTTCATAGTTCTCCAGGTTTCTGCCCCATACAATAGAATTGTCTTGACATTTGTATTGAAAATTCTGATCTTGGTGTTGGTTAACAATTGTTTTGAGTTCCAGATTTTCTTCAGTTGTAAATATGCTGCTCTTGCTTTGCCGATTGGCGTCTTCACATCTGCATCAGATCCACCGTGTTCATCGATGACGATGCTCAGATATGTGAAGGTTTTCACATCCTCCAAAGCTTCTCCGTCAAGTGTAATTCGAAATGTAAAAACAGTAGGACTGCGAAATTATGTACCTTAAAATACCTTTAATCATAAGTTGATATTAATGAAATAATGTTGAGTGGTTGTTTTTTCCAACTCTGGAGTATGTATGTTCTGTAAGACATGATGACTGGTGATAGATAGCTTACTTTAAACAAGTCTGAACTATTGAGTATATGTATCCAAAAAATCAGCTGTTTTATGCTGTCTAAAATAATTTGAACTTACATCCATTTCTCATCTTCAATATGATAATGTTTAGTGTCTACTATTTTCCTACCTTGGAATTTCTAGCCTTTTTTGTAGTAGGTCTTTGTATCACTAATGGTTGTTTTTGTTTCTCTGGCTTTCTCATTTTATCGCATTTCGTTGTCCTAGTGTGTGGATTATTACAGGTATGTCATTTCTTATATTATTCATACACGAGCCAACGTAAATGGAATGAGGTTCGCACCTGAGACTTGTAATGTATCTAAATATCCTTTTACGCATAGTAATTGGTCACCATCGTTGATTGAGGATTTTAGGTTTCGTTTCGATGTGAATTCATAAATGGTTCTTATTCCACTAATTTTCGCTTAGATATTTCTACCGTTCTTCATTGTTTTAATATTGCATTTAGCACAGCCTGAGTGCATATTTGAGTACAACAAATACATCCAGTTAGATTTTCATAAATAATAAGGTTTCAATCTGATATTTCAGCGAGTTCACGTACAATTCCATCCATTAAATGTTCATTTTGATTCAGCGCTCGGACTCAGTGTATTTAAAAGTTATTTTTTGACTATCAGTTCACATGTGTTAGAAATTTCACACCATCTATCGAGTTGAAAATGTGTGAATGATCTCACAAACCTTTTATTTTTTTAAGAAAATGATGATTATTGAGTTAAACAATACAGTTAAATTCATTAGCTTGACGATGATATAACAGATTAATGATAATATTTTCTCGTTTTCACGATATATTACTGTGATATGACGATTCGACTGCTGACTGAGATTATGCTACTTTCAGATTAAATGCTCGATCAGTAGATCTTAAACGAACTGGATCTCATTATATCAAACACACGATTTATGATCAAAAATAATCAGTACATGGACAAGACAATACTTTATTTGACTCGATTGCAAGCAGTCACACTCAGTCTAAAGTACAAATCAATAGTAGGAAAGGAGATCGCACATTTAATAGTCAGTAATTTGTTTTTTTTGTTCGTCCACATTCAGTGGGCAATCATATGTAAGTTCACTAAGCGCATATCAGACAACTTAAACTTCTTTTTAATCACTTGAATTTTTTTCGCAGTCAACTACATCAACCAATGTCAGTCATCCTTCTGAGCATGTCGAACTTACTAGAACACGACGTTCAACTGCTCATAGTTTTATGGAAGCTGTAGCAACTGGTTCAGCCGGTAAAAGTGGAGAACTGATACCATTATCATTTCGTTTACTTATCAATGAATATATAGAAGTAAATAAACAAAATACCGCGACCGTACCATATACTTCTCTCTTAGGATTCGGTGATGCTGTTATTCCTGGTAAATTTGTCAATACATTTTTGTTTGTTTTTGCATGTAAGATTTTATTTATCAATATAGTGAGTTTGTGAAGATTGGTGAATGCTATTGAGATTACTAACCGACCTAAGTTAGAAATACATGGAAAACCAGGAAGCACTGGAAAGTTGTTTCGTCTCAGTAATGAGACTTTGTGACAGTACCCATCCACTCCTCCATCCAGGATTGATCATAAGACCCTTAGGTTTCAAGATGAGTGATCAACAACCCGTCTATTGCGTCGACGTCCTATGGTTTACATGTCTGACTTCAATTAATTCTCAATATTTCACAATTGTCTGCTATTGTATTCGGTTGGTCGCTCAACACTGAAGCAACTGAACTCCATCGCTTCTCACTAGCGCTTCAGGAATTACCTCTCCAAATTATTCACTCATGACCACATGATAATTATCATTATTGTGGGGCTTGTGGAGATCGTAGAATTTTATGTTGTCTTTTTAAGCAAAATGTTTGTTTATCTCATTTTTTGTAAGAATTGTGATCTAAAGAAAATAGTCTTTAATTTTACTTTACCAATTCATAGTCTACTATCTCAATTTATTATGATTTTGTGTTTGATTTTTTATTTGAGACTTCAGTTTCAAATATTTAACTTTATGTTAACTGAAATGAAGCACAAACTGTTATATCGAGAGCTTTAGATTTTTGCTATGCGGCGTACTACTAGACTACTTGAACAATCGAACCCACAACGTCGCAAGACAGAAGACTAGTAAGTAGGAATGTTATTCCCGAAACAGTGTCAAATATAGTACAAAAATCTCATGTATTTATATTTTTTGACTGAAAGTAAATCATCATTTCGGACAGCCAATAGGCACATAGGGTATCCTTCTTATTCATCCAATAGGGAAGCTACACGTCGACATTCCAGAATGTTCCTCTAGTGGTGATTGAATGGAATGTCTTCGGCTCGTTTTGGGCTTCTTGAGACTTCCTTGAGTTTGCCAAAGATCCATCCCTACACCTCGCCTCTTTGAGGTCTGTTACATATGACTTTCTTTTTGAATCTACTTGAAACATTGTTGCCGCTCCTTTTTTCTGTTCAGCACTCTTATCGGCTGTGCGATTTCACTTTTACTTCTCTCAAATCATTGGTTGTGGCCTTCTTTCGGGCTTTTCTGCGCTAAATCCACCAGCATATGGAACGATAGTCGTGTATCTACTGTCGCTATCCTATGATCCTTTCTAGTCTGATTAATATGTCTGATACACGTTCCGTCACTACCCCGAACTAAATGACGTACCTTCCCAATACGCCATTCAATGACCCCTGGTTCCCATTTTCGACCACCTTGATACCACTTTATAAGCACTTTTCACCTACCTTCAAGCTGCGGGTGCCCATCCGATACTCGTGTACGGGCTTTCTTTTTTTCTTAAGTGGCAATATTCTGTCAAATATTGTCCGGATTTTCCTCCTAAACATACATTCTGCTGGTGACTTTCCTTCTGGCACCACCGGGTTAGGTTTGACTCTGGTCATTAGGAGTCTCCTGACTACCTGTACCGGGTTACCCTTTCTTTCCCCCTTAACCAAAGCTCTTTTAATCGTATCCACAAACCTCAGCTTGTCCATTTGATTGGGGATGGTATGGAGGAGACTGAAGATGCCGTATACCATTTTCACTGCAAAAGCGTTTGAATGTTGACGACAGAAATTGGGTGCCATTGTCTGTTAGTAAGATTTCTGGGATGTCGAAACAAGAGAATAGACTTGATAATTTGAAAATTGTGTTCTCCGACGTTGTATTTTTCATTTCGTATACTTCTGGCCACTTTGTGTAGGCGTCCACAATAACTAGAAGGTTCGTGCCTTGTATCGGGCCGGCAAAATCAGCGTGTAATCTTTGCCAGGGCCCATCTGGTTTCGGCCATGGTTGTGGTTTTACTTTCGCTGAGTTTTTTTGCTGCTTCTAGGCATGATTCGCAGCTGTGGCACAATTGTTCTATATCTTGGTCCATCGAAGGCCAGTACTCGTAACTTCGTGCCAGTGATTTCATTTTACTCATTCTCAGGTGCCCGATATGGAACTGTTTGAGTACTCGTCGTTGGAGAGTGCTGGGGATAACAATGCGGTGGCCAAACGTGATACAGGAATCGATAATTGTGAGAGATTCTCGTCGATGGAAGTATTGTAAAATCTCTCATTGGAGTCGTACTGAAGGCCATTTTTTGAGTAGAAAACGGCAGGTAGTCTTCAAGGTATTATCTTCGCTTGCTTCTTTAATATTTTCAAATGTAGTCGGCAGGCCAGCGATTGTGTCTGTTAACACAGCGTGGACTTCAGCTTCAGCTTCTACGGCGGCAAGAAGTACCTCTTCTTCTTGTTTTGCATGGGAACCAATCAGCCTTGAGAGGGCATCAGCTTGTCCAAAATCCGTCGTACGTTGGTACCTAATCTTGAAATCATATCCCAGAAGCGTTGTTGCCCATTTCTGTAAACGGTTTGCTGTATAGACAGGAATACCTTTCTTGGACCCTAAGACTGTCAGTAACGGTTTGTGGTCTGTTAATAATGTAAACTGCCTGCCAAACAGCATTTTGTGAAACTTTTTAAACGCAAATATAATGGCTAGTGCTTCTTTCTCTATCTGACTGTAATTCCTTTCTGTCATTGTCAATGATCTTGTCGCGTGGACAATGGCTTTCTCAGACCGATCAGGGTAGACGTGTGAGATCAAAGCTCCCATTTCATAGTTTGATGCGTCTGCTGCAGGTACAATAGGGAGTAGCAAAATGGCGGGACAAAATGGCCGTCCAGCACATCGAGGTTTCAATCTTGACCTATCAGTGATGGATTTATAATTTCATTGAGATTCTCTTATCATTTTTCCTGATTGTGTAGTTTTAAATGAAATTCTAATGAAATTAAGTAATCTCTCCAATGATCATGCAAAATATTCATTCCCATTGTCTAGAAGGGTGCATTTAATATTCACTTTGTTTCAATCGAAAATTTCAGTCATTTTTAATGAAGCTTCTGTGTGCTTGTTTAGTTTGTCACCAAGTTGTTGCTTTTGTAATTGACGCCTTTCACTTGATGTTCCTATATGTCATTTTATTGCATCGAATGGATTTACGTGTATCATGTTCTTGTCTCTGTGAAGTCATTTGTTTCATAACTTTGCTTCTTAATTTGCGTTAGATTAAGTGACAATATTTAAGGAAGACTTCAATTTATAGGTTATCAAGTTTGGTGATTGAAAGTAAACTAGCGAAAAGTCTGAATTTAGGTTTCATACTGGTTGATATTTATTAAAAAGTGAGATATCTGCAGCGTTAAGCGAACTGATACTCGAAACCGTGTCCATAGCCAACAACCTTAGAACTGAACTATTTGGGCTATCAATAATCTCTTATGGGTTACTTCTCAACAACCGATGTGTGTAAACATCTCAGTCCTACACAGAGATTTATATTTCCAAAATACAATTATAAGAACGAAGAATATTATTTTCAATAATTTCTCATCAGGTTCTACAATTATAAATTAATAATCCATAAAAGAAGATTGGCCAAGTTTAAGGCGGAGTACATCAATTTAAGAAACTGTAATATGTGAATCAAGGATTGTTTGTCATATAAAATAAAATAAGATCGAATCGTTAATGTTTTTGGGATGACTAATATGATGTGTTAACTTGAATCAGTTTATAGGTGAAATGAAATCGTAAGATAAATGATCAGAATATATATAGTTGACATGGTGGTGAGAGATAGAACAATGGGATTACAAATCGGAAATTACGTAATATGTAGAATTATATAAATTAGGTCAGATATAGTAGATAGGGGGTGGATGACGAATAAATTTCTCTAAAAGGTTAGCAGGTGTGATAATAATCATAATAATAATAATAAAGATAATAATAAGAAGAATAATGACTGATAAGATGTGTAGATAAACTAAGTTTGAGATATAGAAGTGAACATTAATCAAATTAATGTCACCATATTACAAATTGATCATTAACAAGTTGACCCTGAAGTTGGCCAGGGTAAAAGGAGCGGCTGTACATATTTCTTTTGAATGCAAAGCTCTGGCTTTTTGATCCGAATAGCAATTGCCTCGGCCGTCTGCAGGATTCTCTGTCTGACAGAATTAGGTAGACTACTATTAACACGATATATTACTGCGAAGGATTGCTCGATGTCGGCTCTATGTCCCGTCTGAACTAAATGGGCCAAAACAGAGCTGTTAACCGTTCTGACTACACCTTTGCTTAACCACACTGGAAGGTGTTCACGAGCCCGAGTATACAAATTCCTAGAACATCTGCCTATATAACTTGCTCCACAGGAGCAGTTGAATTGATAGATACAGAAGGAAGTGGCTAGTCTAAGCAATTTATCTTTCAACGTCGGCGTGATCATTGGGCATGTGGAAAACATTAGTTGTAGTTTACCTGCATTAAAAGTCCTTTCGATTGATCTTCGTAGTTTCAATCTTACCATTTCGCTAGGTGCGTCACCTCTGAATTGTAGACGTATATACAGAGGCTTTTTATTCACAGTTAAACATTCTTTATGGTCTCTTTTACTAGTTATGTTTTTATATTTTTCTCGGGAAACTAGAAAACGGGCCACTCACACAACAGATTGAAAAGTTTTCACTTTATTGCCGATATATGGACGACACGTTCATCCTATGTAACGACTATACTGACTTAATGGAGACACTGCAGCTATTCAATACAACTCATCCGTCTATAAAATTCACATGTGAGGAGGAAAATGGAGGTAGGATCGCTTTTCTAGATGTTCTCCTAACAAGGAGAAAAGACGGTTCACTAAAGAGAAATATAAACAGGAAAACATCGTAGACGGGTCAGTATACTAACTTTCTTAGTTTTGTTCCTCTACAGTACAAAAGGAACCTAATTAAGACATTACACTATAGAATTAAGACCATATGCTCTGAAGATACGGTCGAAGAAGAAACAAAAGCATTATATATGACCCTGAGGGAAAATGGATACCCGGAGAAATTTATAAACAAAAACATAACTAGTAAAAGAGACCATAAAGAATGTTTAACTGTGAATAAAAAGCCTCTGTATATACGTCTACAATTCAGAGGTGACGCACCTAGCGAAATGGTAAGATTGAAACTACGAAGATCAATCGAAAGGACTTTTAATGCAGGTAAACTACAACTAATGTTTTCCACACGCCCAATGATCACGCCGACGTTGAAAGATAAATTGCTTAGACTAGCCACTTCCTTCTGTATCTATCAATTCAACTGCTCCTGTGGAGCAAGTTATATAGGCAGATGTTCTAGGAATTTGTATACTCGGGCTCGTGAACACCTTCCAGTGTGGTTAAGCAAAGGTGTAGTCAGAACGGTTAACAGCTCTGTTTTGGCCCATTTAGTTCAGACGGGACATAGAGCCGACATCGAGCAATCCTTCACAGTAATATATCGTGTTAATAGTAGTCTACCTAATTCTGTCAGACAGAGAATCCTGCAGACGGCCGAGGCAATTGCTATTCGGATCAAAAAGCCAGAGCTTTGCATTCAAAAGAAATATGTACAGCCGCTCCTTTTACCCTGGCCAACTTCAGGGTCAACTTGTTAATGATCAATTTGTAATATGGTGACATTAATTTGATTAATGTTCACTTCTATATCTCAAACTTAGTTTATCTACACATCTTATCAGTCATTATTCTTCTTATTATTATCTTTATTATTATTATTATGATTATTATCACACCTGCTAACCTTTTAGAGAAATTTATTCGTCATCCACCCCCTATCTACTATATCTGACCTAATTTATATAATTCTACATATTACGTAATTTCCGATTTGTAATCCCATTGTTCTATCTCTCACCTCCATGTCAACTATATATATTCTGATCATTTATCTTACGATTTCATTTCACCTATAAACTGATTCAAGTTAACACATCATATTAGTCATCCCAAAAACATTAACGATTCGATCTTATTTTATTTTATATGACAAACAATCCTTGATTCACATATTACAGTTTCTTAAATTGATGTACTCCGCCTTAAACTTGGCCAATCTTCTTTTATGGATTATTAATTTATAATTGTAGAACCTGATGAGAAATTATTGAAAATAATATTCTTCGTTCATATAATTGTGTTTTAATATGATGGGAATTTTTCAGCGATTTCCAAAATACTCATTTGGAAAGTAAAAAGTTTCTTTCTTTTGTAGATATGATAAAATCTCACAGACGAATCATAAATGAACTTAGTGTCAATCTGCATTATTTTGAACTAACCTACCTTGAAGCATATTCATTAGTACAAAAATATAGGCAATGAAGTACTTCATTTCATTTATCTTATTCTATCATTTTACTTGCTAGACTCTGTATGTTGAAAAATATATACATTTTAAATAAATGAAAGAGTAACTCAAGACAATTTAGATTGTATGATTTATATGCAAGTCATACTTTTACGCTTCCTCATTGATTATCACTATTATGATTGTTAGTTCATATTAATATTTATTCATACTACAGAAAACATATTAATGTCACGGTACAAATGCCCTAGTACGGCCGGAAGTGGGGAGGGCCCGCTCCCTCTCGAAATGTTCTCATACGGCCACACGTATACAGCCTCTGCCAGGGAAGTTCTACTCACTGCCTTCTCGTGGCGGGGGTGTTGTTTACGAAATTGAGAGAACGAAGAGCGAATATCCGGCGCTTTAACCTGGTTGATGGACACGGCGAGTCTACCTAGGGGAGTTGGGAAACCCTGATTCCAAACCATTGGTGCACATGGGTTCCAGTATCCTGAAGAAACAAATTGCGTATGAACCAATTATTGGTCACCGGCTACCATGGAACTTCATCTCCCTATGATGCTTTACTGCCTCGTGGGTCAGACCTTTAGGTCAAAGTCTCCGAGTGTTGCCCCCTAATAAAACCACCTGCTTCAGTTTTGGAACCTGGTCAGTATCACAGCCCTCACATAAATCAAATGACATTTGTGCAGCGCGTATATATCTGGTGCTCCTTTGTACGAATATTAATGTGTTGAAATAATTAAATAACAAAGATGACAGACTATTGTGTACAATTCATTTTATGTTTACTATTTTATCATTTTCTAATTCTTTTTCTGAAAAAAACCACTTTCAGGAATATTTATCCAATTTCTGGCATTCTATGATGCATGCTGGCGTACTCCGTACTATCGACACTTTTGGGGTGGACTTTTAGGTCAGTTTTTTTATTAGAAAGAAATTATTTCCTCAAATCTATTTTTATGATCAATTTAATTTTTTTATGCGTAAAAAAATACAATAAAAGATAGAAATAGTGGTGTAGCAGTGCTTTTACAGCAACTTTCTATACCTATGATTAGCATATTTCCTGTTCAAATGGTCTATAACTTCCTGAAATTAATTTTCTCAACTTTTTTGAGAAAATTTTCAATTTCGTTTACGTGTTCTGAATTATAAAAAATAGAACGTAAAATCAATGTTCTTATCATAAAGAACTTACGCTTGTTATCACTCGTGGAGGAGCGTAAGCCGTCCGCCAGAACTCTCCATCGGACTTTGTCCTGAGCGATCCTTTCCTGTTGTTATCCATTATTTTGATGTCTGCTTCCGATTCCCAGGGCATTGTGCTCCTTGGTCTTCCTCCTTTCCTTTTGTCCTCAGGATTCCAAGTTAGCGCTTGCCTCGTGATGCAGTTTGATGATTTTCATAAAGTATGTGCTTTCCACTTCCAGCGTCTTAATTCAGTTGGAAGCTGGTTTGTTCTCTCCCACTGTAGGCTGTTGCTGATGGTATCTGGTCAACGGATATTGAGTATCTTACGTAGAGAACTGTTTATAAATACTTGTACTGTTTTGTTGATGGCTGTGGTAGTTATCCAAGTTTCAGTTTCGTGCAGTAGAACTGTCTTGACGTTTGTATTGAAGATTCTGACTTTGATGTTGGTTGACTGGCAGTTGTTTTAAGTTCCTTGTGTTCTTCAGCTGTAGGAACGCTCTTATGGTTTTACCAATCCTTACCTTTACATTTAAATCAGATCCTTCTTGTTTGTCTATGATGCTGCCCATGTAAGTGAAAGTTTCCACAGTACTATCGGTTGCCATGTTAACCCCATATACCTTATTCCAGCTTCTGGATAGGCCAGTTTATCCATTCTTCTTTAGTCACGTATTGACCTTGGTAATTATTCGCTTACCAACTTTGACTGTTTTTATATGAGCGTATGTGTGTGTATATCTTATCATAGTCATCACATGTCTGTAACTTATTTTTATCTGGCTATAAACTTTGATTAACTCTTGATTAAATGGAGTTGTCTCACACGCCTTCTCCACTGCGCGTCATTTCGTCTGCCAGCTGTCCTCTATGCACCACTTTGCACTGTAGTCCGTCGTATGAATTTCGTGTGATGTTAACGATCGTCTCGTGTACACCATAGTGTCGGAGAAGATTCTAAAAGGTTCCCTTATCCATGCTGTCAAACGCTTTCATATAGTCAGGGAGGTTGATGCATAGTGACGAGTTCCATTCAATTGATTGTTCAACAATGACTCGTAGTGTCGTGATTCGGTCTGTGTACGGCCGATCCCTACAGAATCTAGTCTGTTTATCTGGACGCTGGGTGTCTACTGAATCTTCCACCCGGTTCAGCAACACTTTATTGAAAATATTTCCTGATATTGATAACAGTGTGTTGCCTGTGTAGTTGTTACACTTGTTCAGATCTCCTTCCTTTGGGATCTTGATGAGGTGTCCTTCTTTCCAGTTTGTCGGGACTTCTTCTTCCTTCCAAATCTTCCTGAATAGAACAGTTGAGCATGTTTGCAATTACTTCTATATCTGACTTTAGTGATTTGGTTAATGTATTGTCAGGTCCTACGGCTTTCTCCTTTTTGATTTGTCCAATGGCCATCCTTGTTTTCTTCGATCGTTGGTGCAGTGACATCTATAGAATAGTCTGTGTATGATGCTTCGATGTCCGAAGGATTCAATAGAGCTGGTCTATTTAAGAGTTCCTCAAAGTAGTCAGCCCAACTGTTCCTTTGTCCTTGCATTTCAGTGATTGTTTCGCCTTATTTGTCCTTGATTGATCCCTCTTGTTTACCATATTTCCCTGTCGGTTTCTTCGTCGTGTCATATCGTTGTTTCATATTTTATTTTCCTACAGTTTTTTCCTCTATCGCTGCTAGTTCTTCCACATATTTCTGTTTGTCGGCTCTAATGCTCCTCTTCACTTACTTGTTTGCTTCAGTGTATTCGGAGTGTGCCTTGACTCTCTCTGTTCTTGTTCCACTGTTGTCTTCTTTTCTTAAGTCTTGACCAGCGTTTCTATGGAGATCCATTCCTTATGATCATGTTTCTTACGGTCCAGCACCCCTTATCACGTTGAAGTTAGTGCTTCTTTGATACCTTTCCAGTTGTCCTCCGTAGTAGTTTGTTCTTCTTGCAGTAGATCCTGTAAGGCTTAGAACTTGTTATTGAGAGTTATCTTGAATTCTTTGAGTTTGTCATTATCTCGAAGGATCTCATAATCAAACTTATAGGTATTTCAGTTAATTTTTTCAAAGGTGGTAATTAGTCTAACTAGGACCCACTATTTTGTTTTAAAAAGAAATTAAGGTGACGCTATTTCAGTGTTGATCCGGTTCCTGTTGATTCATTGATGGGAAATTAAATGTGACATATTTTTTAAATGTCTCAGAATATCTTAATCTAGTTGTCTATACTGATTGAGAACTTCCACTGTTCCTGAACATTTACTACTTAGGTTATGAGAAAACGTATGTACCGTTGCAATTTCATAATGCACGAATTTACTATCATAAATGTTATGTGCCTATATCGTTAACAGTTAACCGGGCATATGTATCACTGTATTTTTCACACACAGTCTGCCGCAACCTTCAGCTTTTTATACGGACAAATCGAATTAAAAAAAAAGCTGATTGATTGATTGATTATATTCCCGACCGTTGCTGCTACCTTGACGTGGTGGTCGGGCTTGCCTATCGTGATGATCCAATCGAGCTATGCTGGCTGGAACAATCGTTCCTCAAGGTCCTACCATGCCAGACAGGTCGGTTGAAGAGCGGTGAGACTAAAAGCAGCAATCCCGAGGTCCGAAGGCGAAGTCGTACTGCTGACTGTACAGAGGTGTGAAAGCAGTAAGGTGTTTCCTTCAGACAACCAGCATGACAGCGATGCTGCCTTCCGACAAGGAGGGGTGGGGTTAGAAAAGGTCGACCCTAAAAATGCACACCTCGCCTTATCCCACGGATATCCGTCTCCGGCGGTAAGGATTTTTTTGAAGAACGGAGCTAACACAAAAACTACCCACAAAAAGGTCGTGTGTGACCGACCTCAAGCAGTTGTCCCTTGGGCACTACGGTCACGCTCTCAGGTCATTAAGACCACTTCTAACCCAATTTCCTTTTCAGGTACCCCCAGGAGAACCCTTCCACGGTGTGGGCAGCCGGGAAGTGATACTAGCCCTCATACCCTTAACTGCACACAAGACCAAGTTGGTCGCTTTCAAATCCTTCCTACACCTAATAACTCTGTTATCTCCACGACTAACCCTTCCCACGTCCTTTTATTACCTCGCACCGCTAGGGCAAACGATTCGAGTACACAGAACGTTATTCCTGGTCTCCTGAAACCACGCTCTAAACTACATATAGGAACTTTTAATGTCCGAACATTGTGCCAAATAGGACAACAGGCTTCCTTAGCTAGGACTCTAGAATTTTACACCATCGATGTGTGCTGCGTCTCCGAAACGCGCATACAAGATCCGAGTAGTGTCATTCATTTGACCTCACCTAATCAAAATAAAGTTTCATCTCGATACACGCTTCGTGTATCTGGAAGCCCTGACGCTGCTTCTCGTGGCCTCGCTGTAGTAGGTATAGCATTAAGTCCTAGGGCAGAACTAGCTCTTTTAGACTGGATCCCAGTAGACAGTCGTCTATGCGCTGTCCGACTAAACGGATCAGTAAGGACCCGGAAAGATAGGGAAACTCGTCGTTGCCTCTTCGTCGTCTCTGCCTACTCTCCCACTGACTGCAGCTCAGACGATATAAAAGATGAGTTCTACAGGAAACTTTCTGACCTTCTCCGAGAAGCTAGGCGTTCTGATATAGTAATAGTAGCAGGTGACTTTAATGCTCAAGTAGGTAAACTAAGTGAAAGGGAAAGACACCTGGGTGGATCTTATGGTGTCATGGCGAAAAGAACAGATAATGGCGACCGTCTGTTGCAGCTGTGCTCAGATAACCGCCTATTTCTTGCAAATACTAACTTTAAGCATAAGGAAAAACATCTTTTGACATGGCGACCCCCGAATTCGTACCAACGTTGGACCGAACTAGATCACATCGCTATCAGCCACCGATGGAGGGGCTCGATAGAAGACTGTCGCTCATTCTGGGGCACATGCTTAGATTCAGATCATGCTCTAGTGCGAGCACGTATCTGTCTGCGTCTTACTGGTCGTAGGAAAGACACTGCAGGGAAGCCTCTAAGGGTTCTACTTAATGATAGGCAAGCTAAGAATATATATCAGGAACAACTAGAAAAACAGTTAGGCAGCCATGTAAGTTGTGTCCACCCCGAGGCAGCGTGGAATGACATCCGAAAAGCTGTGGAAACAGCAGTGATATCTGCTAATAAGGTAAACCATAACGTTAGGGAGAAACAATGGATCTCGGCAGCATCTACCGCACTGATAGATGCTCGTAAACTCATCCCACCTGGCTCTGAGCATAACGAAGAGCGGAGTCAACTTAAGCGCAGGCTTATAAGAAGCCTACGTAATGATCGTGAACAGTGGTGGGTAGCGAAAGCAAGAGAGATGGAAAAGGCAGCGGCAATAGGTAACAGTAGGCAGCTATTCAGACTCGTTAAAGAAACCGGTATTAGGAACCCGAATATCAGTGAAACCATCTCAGATAAAGATGGGCATATTATTCATTCTCAATCCAGGAGGTTGGATCGATGGGCAGAACACTTTAGGGATCAGTTCAACTGGCCTTCAGCCACACTTCAGTTACCCACGATCCCCAGTCGTCCTGAATGGCAAATTGATGTAAGTCCTCCAACCCTCTGTGAGGTTGAAAAAGCTATAGGAAATCTGAAGCGAGGGAGAGCAGCAGGCCCTGACAGGTTGACCCCTGAGATTTTTAAGGATGGTGGTCCAGTACTAGCAGTGAGATTGAC